CCAGTATCCTTAAAGTTGATTACAAATTTTGAATAGCTTTGGATTGCTGGAGTGGTGTGTTATTTTTGTTTGCTACTGACGGATTTTACCAATTCAACTGAATTCCGAATTACCATAACAATTCGATAAGGTTAAGTCTTCACTAGTAATGTAAATCTACTTAATTTTAACATACAAATTATCTGAGGCAGCACTTAATCGTTACGTTGTGTGTCTAAGGTTCCTGAACTACTGCCATGTTAGGTAATTACCGCTGAGATGCTGGCATTTAATCGGTATGATCCCTACAGAACATTAAGAATGCAAGTTTTGCATATGATAGGATATTTGAGACGGATGTCACAACATAATCTACCTCGTGATGGGAACTGGCAAGCACGAAATGGCCGACGCGATAAGTGGCTTAGCGTACATGATATGTTCTGACCCCTTGGTTGGCACCCAATTGTTTTCCGAAAACGGTCGTGTTGAGCTCTGTTATGATACAGGTGTGACTTTCAATTGTTAGCTCATTGAATGGGTAAGGATCCATATTTAGTTATTGAGGACCTAGGCACAGAGCAAACTGATGTTACAACAGTTTTTAGCGAGACATCCTCGACGAAAAAATATTTGATACCAAGCTTGAACAAAAATGCCGTCAAATGTTTTTCTTCAACTGTAAATTCAGTGCCCACAAAAAAGATATGAAACATTGAATTATCTTGGAACTTTATCAAAGTAAACAAAGCCATTCTAACAATTTACGTCGATTCTGAAAGCAAAGCAATCGAGTAAATATTCTACTTGCGGCATACCAGGTGCGCGATTAAGATAGGACAGATATACGTATGTGCTACCGCAGTGAGAAGTACAAGTGATTGCTTGTAATAAATGTCTTTGAGTGTTTCCGATTATTTCTGAACAAGTTAAGGTGTGCTTGCGCAATATCGGTGGCGTTTTTAGATGGGCAGAGGTCAATTGCTTGTAAAATTCTAGCGCAACCAATTTCTTACTGAAAACACTAAGCTACATAGACATACAAATCGAGATCTCCCATAATTTTGGACGGCGTTTTGAGAGTGACCCTGCGGTCCACAACGCAAAGAAAAGTCCTAAGTAATCGAAGAACATTTAAGCAAGGCCCAGCGGTGGCTGCTGAGGGAGACCTCTAAGACTGGCAATAGCGCCAGCAATTTTATATACATACGGCGGCTACCACTGTCGATTCTGCACGACTCACCAAACTTGCGCTCAGCAAAGATATTGCGGTGTCCAGTCCCCTTGGACCGACAAATGAGATTTCGCCTCAAATGGTGACTGAACACGTGGCTTATGGCAATTATTGGAGCTCTGTGATATTTTCGGACGAGAAGAAAGTTAATCAGGATGGACCGGACGGATTTCAAGGTACTATTGGCGCGATATGATCCAAGAAAAATCGATTTCTCCACGCCGACAGTCTGCTGGTGGCCAGTTCGAGATTGGGCCAGCATGAAAGTACGTAAGCAACCACATCAAGTCGTCCTGGCTTATACTAAACGAAGAAGTTGTACTACGCAAAGTATTACAGCCACCTTTCCATCCTATGCAAAGAGTTGTGGGATGTTTACGGCCGTGTATCAGCATGCATGGTCCGTATAGACGATAAAGGGTATACCCGCTAGACCATAGATCTGAATGTCACCAACGCGTACTTCATGGAAAGAAATTCCTTGTCATGGAAGGGGTTTTTAAGCTTTGCTGGTAGCAGCTGTCGTGACTGATAGCAGAAGACGCCTTCCACATCGCTTGCGTCGTACTGCATTGACGCACAACCGATTGAAAAGTCACTGGCATTCCAGACCACATGCAATGGCATGTTTTGGTCCGCAATTGCCAAAACGGTTAATCTTATCAAGCTTCGCTTGATACCTTCGAAGGAGCGCTGACAATCCTCATCCATAGCCACTTCTCGTTATTTCCAAAAAAACGAGAGATAGAAACAGTCACTCGACGTGATTGTGCAAATATTCGGGTAAATACGCCGCTAGGCCAAAAAACTTTCAAATTCCCTTGTTATCTGTAGGAACCGGACAGTCGGTTATCACTTTGATCTGTTCCCGATTGAGCCGAAAGCCATCCTTACCCACGATGCAACCAAAAGTTGTATTTTGCTAGCAGCAAATATACACTTCTTGAGGTTGGCAAACTACTCATGCTCGCCTATAAGTGTAAGAACCTTCCGAATGTGAAGTAGGTGCACTTCCACACCTTTCTGTCTATCCATATCCCGGATATGGACAAGCACATTATCAAAGTAGCTGGGCGCGAATTCTAGTACAGATCTCAACAGGTTTGTCTTACGTCTGTTTAATGTGGCAGGGGTGTTACTTAGTACTTGTGGCATTACTAACCACCCCAAAGCATATCGCTCGGTGTGCTTACTGCAGTTTATGTGATGTCCGTTTTGCTCATAGAGATCTACTAGAATCCGTCCATCGGATGACTAACGAGGCCCGGATCACGTATATGGTTCCCGCTGTACCATCGACATTAGAAGAGCACATCAATTTGAAAATCACGTAGAGTGCGAAGGTTACTCGCACTAGAATCAAGGGCATTTAGTCTTGATAAATTGAATAGTCGTAATCGATAACGATTGCTTTCGTCGGCCGAGAGATCTAACACTCGCTAAGGAGGCAGTGATGTATTTCTTTCAGAAGCTACGCGCAAGATACCGCAATCTATGGCTTCTTGCGTGATGTCAATAGAATTTACTGGCACCATTACCAATACGGTCGTCTTCATCGTGACGCATTGCTGCATCACTATGATCATCATTGCATTGTCCCGAGACGCCGCCTTGATCATTCTCGAGCGAACGACTCGGGTGATCCGAAGATGTCACGACGCTCAGCGATGCTCATAGAAATTCGTAAATCCGACTTAGTCGACTCTGGCTTGGCCGCTTCTGGCCCTTATTCGTGGCTGGCTTGAGTCAGCGTCGCCACCCGACTCGCTGGAGTATATGAGCCCGAGCTCATAATCTTCAATTTCATGCGGTGCATCATCGCGTGATTCTACAGAAGCGTCTGCTGCAGGCGAAAAAGAGGAAGAAGCAGATCGATTGTATTCCGCTGCATTCAAAGTCCTTGCCTCTTTCGCGGCAGCAGAACGGAGTCTCATGGCAGAACTCTCGACAGCTTTGGCTGCGCACTGAATGGACTTTTCAATACGCGATGAGATCGGGGAATGGTTGGAATGGGTCAACGTGAGCAGCAATTTGGTTCACTATCGACGGTCGTGGGTCCTCGATTCCCTGTTCAATCGAATTGTGCTTGCCTATCCCACAGTCACTTAATGGAGTCACGTGATTATCAAGCGCTCAGTAATGTGACTCATGGTTAAGAGGGGGGATGTAAAAGGGTGCCTCCTTTACATGAATTTTTTTGCATAAGGTAGAAATCAAGTACGAATATTATGTTAAGACAAGCGTTATTTTTTCCCTCACAATATTAGCTTAACAGGTAACATCGGGATGCAGAAGTAATACACTGCTCATTGGTTGATATAGGGAAATGATACCAACCAGTAGGAAAGAGTCGTGACAGAAGAATGCAATGAGTGGCGAGCAGATAGTCACATTGCATGGTTGTATTTAGGCCTGATTAAAACAAGACAAAATAGGATTTATTAGCAGGAGATTAACTGTGCTAAAAAACCACAGTTCTACTTTCACCCTTATCTCGCATTGAAAACTTTCTCTGCACGATACGTGTACGTGAAGTTTTGAGGCATCTGTTTACCCTGTGTTCAGTGTAAGTAGCTAGTACTGTGACAATGTAAGAGATCGGTGCCCCTTTACATTTTACATTTATTGCGCTCGGACTTCCATTTCAACATCACTATCAACGACCTTTCTAAAGTACAACGTGGCTACCTGCGCGTCTCGCCGATGAAAGTAGACAACGTCTTGTTGAAGTTATCGACATGCTCGACAAACTGGTTTGAAAAGAGAGAGACAATTTTGACATAGTAGTAAGTACGGCTGTAGGGTGCCAATCTTGCCAATTGTGAATTCGAAGGGTGAAGACATTAGTGACTGTACGCAAGGTGAATGCCGAGATTTTTATATTGTAATTACCTATATGTGTCGGTCTGTCTGTAAATAACGCGGCTAGGTGTAGCTTACATATACCAAGTGCGATCTAGTATGCCCCCTCATAGGTATATACGCATATTAAAAGTCACCCTTTGGCCAGGTCACAGTTGTGACGCATGCAGGTGATTAGCTTTAAATCAATTAGAGCTGAAAATGGTCACATAAGCAAACGCTGGACGCTCATAAGCAAAGGCTGATTGGTTGCCCGAGTATACCGCACTGGTTTAGTACAGACATTGACAGCATCATACCAATTCTTCAGTGCCTGCTGTTGTATTGTGTCTTGCGACTTGATTCAGTTCTCCAAACCGAATTACTCACATCAAAGAGAGAGAGCTCCAAAGCTTGCCTACCTATCTTAAACTGACGAATGATTGCGTCTGTTGGGTTGCTTGCAGTTGCAGGGATCGGCGGCCGGGCGATTCGTAGTTGAGCCACACGATTATTGGGGAATGAACTACTAAAACCTGATTTTGGCAGATTACAAACTGTCGGGTTTAAAACCCCATTGAAAAACCAAAAACCATTTTGTGCCAGCCCTGACACACACAGACACACATACTGATGCGTAAATTAAAAAAGCTCGGCATTCTCCTTGCGCAAAAGTCACAAATAGCTCCACCCCTCGGGCTCACAATAAAAGCCGTTTCCCTGTGTAAGTAGATGGAGTATAATAACGGCGAAGGCTTGTACCGGACGAAAAAATGACACTGTAACTCGTTCAAGGTGCAGCATAATTAAGTCGTGCTGAAAGAGATGAGCGTTCGAACACTTCTTCCTCTTTACCGTGCTTCGCTTCTAGCGTGCTGTGCCTCTGCACTTCGTAGCTTATACTTTAAAACCGCGGTGCCACTTATTATGACCACATTTGCGATTACTACGCACGCTCGCATGCCCACTTGCTCGTGCATCCTTCGCTGGATGCTGCCTTATCTTCAAACTGAACCTCTCTGTGACCACCTTGTGCATCTAATTGAGCAGGCCCAGAGCCGTGACGACGGTGGCGTCGCTTATTCTGCTGACGACGCGTAGATGCAGCTTGGACCTCCTCAGAGAGCTGGCGCAATGTAAAATTCGAAAACACTTGCGTGGTGGGCATGTGCACGCCCGTCATCGGCGACATGTCGCTCGTTGCAAACCACTGCAATATAGCCTCCCGTTCATAACTGTGCCCATCCGCAGCCACAACAGGATCTAACATTGGGCATCCGGTAATTGGACAAATGAGTTGCTCGGGTACAGCAAGCTCGCCTTCGTCTCTATCAACTTTATCGTATGATCCGTCGTCTTCGCTGTCTTCGTACGTTTTCCAGCCCAGTGTCATCACATCTTCGGCATGTTCCTCATCGTCAGCAGCCAAGCGGTCTGACGCCGTAAAGGCACGCACAATGTGCCCGCGGTTAGTACGAGGCCCACAGTCGATCAAGTCGTCATCATAGCCACCATCTAAGTACCCAGAAGTGACGCGCCTTGGTCTACTCCAGTATGCACGAACAAACTCATGCTTCACCTGACCATATGCGTCCTTCGAGCTTGCCACAAAAGTCTGCACGCCAGAATACACACCGGAGCGAAGGAGATCTTGTACGCTGCGTCTCATCGTTGAATACGCTTGCGCACCAAAGAATGCCACAAACGCAGCCGAATTCTCGAAGTGAATTCGTGAGGTTTCGGGTAGAGCGCACCACACGCGCTGTGCACCTGTGACGACACGAAATTGGCGTACGCGTGTCACTTGGTTCTGCAGCTGCTCTGAAGCATTTAGAAAAAGGGATGGGCGGTGTTCGACATGCACCAAATTGCGATGCAGCTCAAAGCTCAGAGGCCATCCTTCTTGACTACGCGTCTGAGCAAACACTTGGTCCTGAAAGATGTCTACCACTTCAAGCTTTGCGCTGGGCGGCAAGATTTTCGAGTAGTACTCCAATCCCCCAAATCCTGTTAGTCGCACAATATCCCCCTTCTGTGGCTCTAGCTCGTTCGTAGCGGCGGAAACATCAAAACCAAGTGAAAGCTGCAATTGTCCAGCCCCCTGCGACTCCTCGTCCATCAATTGGTACCATCCTCGAGAACTCGATGCACTAGACATAATGCACGGTAGTAACGGCACCACGAGCGCCCCAATCAGTTTATCATTTGGTCCTAAGGCCGAAACATGAGCCGACATTGACGCATTCGACGCCATAGCAGCAATCGCCTCGGCGTGTTTCGTCTCGTCCGTGCGATGGAAAATTTGTACGAATAGCTCTGGTGCACACGGATGATACTGGCGGTAGCCCATTGCAATGTCCACAGCTGTGCCAGTCTTCTTTGGTGTCAACACTCCTGCTTTTCGATTGCCTGGACTCTGGCCCTTGCCTTTCATTGCAGCTGTCGTGATGTTTGACCGGCCAGCAGTTTGCAGCAGTTCCGTCTCAGACGGAAGCGGGACCTTCAGTCGAGCTGTCTCTTTCCATACGGGAAAGAGCTCCTTATTCTTGACGTTGGATACAAAACGCTCGCGGTCCAGTGTTAAAACCACGTACGGGTTCGAGTACCCCGTCGTCCACTTGAGCAGACTCCCAGGCACGGCAGGCGGCAAATGGCGAGCGCCCAAGATCTCTACAGTCAGCAGACCCGCAGACGGTGTCGATTCATTAACCGCGTTGCTCCGTCTGCTACTGCTATTGCTGCTTGACGCTATAGTAGCGCTGCTGTTCTTGACCGCACAGGACGTCATTGAAGAGCTTCTCACGAAAGAACAATTGGAAAACTGAAATGATCCTGTCGACGTTATTGGAATCTGAGTCCGGCAGCAGACGGGCGCTCTTTTTTGATGTCGGACCAAACGGGGCTGATACGTAATCGCCGGTTCTTTAACACAACCGGCTCAACCGTTGGCCGTAACAAAGTCGCGTCGAAATTGCGCAATCTCTCTCACAAGCCGCGGTTTTTTAGAAATGTCGAAACGAGGCCATCGACGCAGCGTTAGAAATGACGTGGACCACACCTTACCTGGTTGGATCGAAATGAGCGCGACGCCAACGTCCGACCCTGGCGACAGCTCCGAGCGCGACGCTTTGCTTGCCCCAGACGCGCTGCCAGTGCACACTGCCCGCCAGAATTCATGCCCTAACGTTAAGCAGCGAAGCTCTACCTTCGACTGGCTTCTGGGTGTCTCGTTTCTATTGATTGTCGCGCTCATTTGGACGTTTGCCAGCGTCTTGGTGCAGTACATTTTCCACACATTGAGCTTCCAGGGCCCTTTCTTTCTCACGTACATCGGCATGTCACTATTCTCCGTCAACTTGCCACTATGGTACATGTCCCAGTTGCTGCTGCCAAGACTGAAGGCGTGGGTCCGAGGTGTGCCGATAGCACGCGGTACATTCCGTCACACTGAACTGCTGCGACGCTCGGGGACACAAGCCAGCTATGGCCAGATCTTCTGTATGAGTGCAGTCGTCTCTCCGCTCTGGTTCATTGCCAATGTCACGTACAATGAGAGCCTGAACCTCACGAGTGTCTCCAGTAGCACGATCGTGAGCTCCACGTCGACGGTGTTTACGTTTCTACTAAGTGTCGTGGCTTTGAAGGAACCTTTTGTCTGGACAAAACTAGCAGGTGTCGTGCTTTGTATGGCGGGGAACGTCTCGACGATTATGAATGACAAAGGGACACATGAAGGCACGGACCATGTGCTCGGAGATCTCGTGGCACTTTTTGCGGCCTTTATGTATGGCGTATACACGACTGCGATCCGTCGCTTGATACCAGACGAAGAAAGCGTGAGCATCTCGCTGTTTTTTGGCTTTATCGGCGTCATCAACATGGTGTGTTTGCTGCCCATCGTCGTGGTCTTGCACTATTCGGGCATTGAGTCGCTCAGTGGCTTATCACTTGAGATTGTGCTTCTCATCAGTGTGAAGGGCCTCTTTGATAACGTGCTGTCTGACTACCTCTGGGCGCGTGCCGTGCTGCTTACATCACCCACTGTGGCTACTGTTGGGCTTTCGCTGACAGTTCCGATGGCCATCGTGGCTGACTTTTGGTGCCACGGCATGCTGCCGACATATGTGACGTTAGTTGCCTCAGCGCTCGTTATCTCTGGTTTTGTGCTGATCAACATTGGCACGAAGCAAAAGCAGCATGAGTACCACCCTCAGCGTTCTACGGACTGCTCTGTGAAGGCTTCTGGATCACGCTAGCGTAGTGACAGTACAGATGCACTAGCTGAATATTAAGGACAGTGTCGACCTGCATCGATGCTTCTGCTGGCTTACTGTAAGCAGCTAAAATGAAGGCTCGTTGGTATGGTGGGATACACGTGAAGACCCAAGTTCTGGCATCAATGAGCTGCTTTGGTTTTTGCAAGGTCCGATGTCAAGTATACTGCAGAGCATTGTGGTTGTTACATGCATGAGGCGTTCATCAGGCTTCCTGCTCCTCTTCACTATTTGCATGGAGTTGCTTCGCGACGGCACTTACGAAGACAACATTCATCGAAGAAGCCTAACTACCGAAACAATTCGTATTTTACTTGAGTTGCATGCAGGTGGCGCTTGTGTGTACCATAACTTTTGATAACGTTTTGTAGATTTTGAATATGTGACAAAGCAGGCGTTTTAACCATGGCTAGTTTCTAACCGTGTCCTGCGAGTTACGATGTTGAAGTGGCTTTTCGAGCGTCTGAGATATGGCACAAAACGCAATCATTCCAAGAAACCACTTGATAATTATAATGCCATGGCCCACTTGCTATGTTTAGCGAAAGGGCAGTACAATATGGACGGGAACGGGCGGGTTCTAAAACAACGTTTTTTCTGTAACGGCGGACTCTATTTGCAAGATGTCCGTCCTTTTCCAACGCGCTTTCTAAAATCGACGTGGTTTTCATCAAGGCGACGATGCTTTACCATGACGCCTTCACGTGGCTACACTATCCGTACGGCCAAAAAAGAGCGACCACAGGGACACGTCGCTTCTACCTGACTGTAAACAGAGCGCGCACAAACTCAAAGCAAGTGTACTCGGTGTCACTTTTCTTGCACGCGACTGTACGACAAGAAAAAGAGCAGAGCAATATGGTCTATATGACAACTGAGGGGTGAGAAGCAAACTGTGCAGACCCTTTCCTTCTCACCCTTTTTCTTTTACTACAAAACGGACATCATCCGATCCCGGATTCCCAAAATCAGGTGAAAAGATCCACCATCTCAACTATCCACGTAACAATCGTCGGCTGCGGCTCAATAGGTCGTTGTGAAGTCGTCCACTAAGTGCGGCTACAAACGTGCATCCGACTGAGTACAAATTCTGCCAATCCTCGCACAGTCGGACCCGTGCTCCTTTTGTTCTCGACCGTGCACAAAAAAGCGCCATGTCGGCTATACCCACCTCTGTTCTCGACCGCGCGTACTGTGTCGTCTGTCGGTCCGTCTGCTCCGTCTGCTCCGTTAAAACGGTCCTATACGCATTCATTTCCCAACTTGAAGCCAAGCGGCGTCGAAGGAGAAGAAAAAGCGATTCAGAGCACAAAAAGCGTCGGAAATAAAGCGCCACAAGCAGGAGAAGATGGACGACCTGCCTGCCGTCGTGCTGCTGCACGTGCTGCGCTTTCTCGACCACTCGGCGCTGCATGCAGCCGAGCAGACGTCCCTCACGTTTCTGACGCTCACACGCGATGCCCGTATGTTTCTCCGCTCGTTCTTTTGCCGTGTCGTAACCTCTTTTTCAGGCACTGACTGCCTCCATCTCCTGGTTACATTCAAACGTACCCACCACCTCGTTTTCCATGCTCTTGTCAGAACTATGGAGGGACCTGGTCATACCCCACGTGAGCTGCAGTGAAGCTCTACAGTCCCAAGACGCGTGGAAACCCATGGCGTGTCTAGTCCAGCGTCGGGCTCTGGATGACCAGCAGCTACTAAGCGGCATCCAGTCCTTCTCCTCGGCTGACAGGTCGAGTGAGTCGCCGGTGAATACACTCACCCCTTCTCGGTGCTGGTTGGAGCTCCGAGTGCCAGACGTCGAGCAAGAGACAGAGCTGAGGACACTGGGCGAGCGCATCCAGCACCGCTGCGGCTGCTCGGCAGGTCAGTCGTGTTACTGGAGCAGCTCGGCGTCAATGGATCCGAACGCGACCGAGTTCATTGACTATTCCCTGAGTGGTCCTTGCGTCGTCGCGGCTGTGCAGATTGTCCCGTACCGAGTGTTTTGGCATCCAGGTAGTCCCACATATGCACCGCAGCGCGTTAAATTCGAGTTCTTTGACGTTGATAACCACATGACGACGGCATCGCAGGGGGAAAGAAGAGTTTGGACGCTGCATGAAGCGACTGTGGAGCCGTTTTATGCCTCGCACGACTACCAGGTCAAGAATGACATGACGCTGCAGGAATTCGTGCTGCCTCGAAAGGTCACAGCAAGTGAAAAGACCGTGCTGCGTATCACGCTGATGGGAAGACACCAAGCGCAGACATTTGAGCTTCCACAAGACGTTGCCAACGAAGACGACGACCGGCGGCCGAAATACTATTGCTGTCTAAGCCACGTGAACATATGCGGCGTACCGTGGAAATCCCTGCCACCGAAAACTGCTTCAGACTTGGCAGCTTCGCCGTTGTACAAGATGAGTCCGAACCTACGCGTGGCAGCACTGACCGGGCTCGCAATGTACATCACTGCCTGTTACGAAGGATACGTTGGCCGCACTCGACGATGGGAGTGAACACACCACTCGACCATCGCGTTTTAAATCATCCTACCCCACCCACCCACCCAACCGAACGAGACTTTGCGCTTCTAGCTGCACAGGAACACGAGTAATCCACAAGACGTCATGTACACTGATCCACAAGAACTCGTGTCCATTGTACAATGGCGCTGCTCTCAACAGCGCACCAATCGTCACCACTTTTCGAATTGCACGTGCATGCCACACGCACAACGTTTCGTCCAGCTCTTGGTGTCGTCGTCAAACGTTTCCAGCCCAAACTCATGACGATGGTCGCTGTCACCTACGAGCGCGACCTCGTTTTTCTTCGTGTCGCTATTTCCCTCATTGTTACTGCCACGATCACTGGCAACCAAGTGCTGCCGCTTCAACAGATGTCGCGTCCGACTGGCCGCCGACTGAAACGCTCGCTTTTTCCGCTTGTGCTTCTCTCGTTCCAGCCCGTCTTTGTCCCCATACACGCGGTAAGCTTCTTGGACTAATGTTCGCCGGAGAAACAGCTGTAAGGGAGCAAACGCTTCATGTCGCGGGTTAGGTTTACGCAAATACGGCAGCCCCCTAAACGACGAGGCGGGCAGCGCGTATTCCGCCTGGGCGCGCGACTTGGAGAGCAACTCGAACGCGCCGTCACGAAGCGTCTGGAGCTGTTTGCACGTTATACAGACGCGCAGTGAGAAGTGCTCGAGCAAGACGCGGTCCAGGTACAAGGCGTCGTCGTGGCATTCCGCGCATCGACCGACAGGCACGTCCGTCATCGCGCTTGAAGTGGGCGGCGGCATTTCGCCAAGTTGTGTATTTGGGGTTGTGGTTAGTGTCGTTTTATCTTGGGTTTTGTATGAGCGTGAAACCGCTTTTTTATAAAGCTTTCAATTACACCCGTGCGCTAATTTAGCGTCACGAACGAATTTACGCATCGAGTGGACGCCACGGATTGAAATGGCGGATAGAGTTACGGTCGCGGAGACGCTGGCGAAGTTACCGCAGAAGAAGTTCTACCGCTCTCGGGCACACTGCAACCCGCTGTCGCATAACGACTGCTTTGACTAGTGCGTGTTCGCTCCTATCGCTCACTCAGTATCGAAGAAACAGGTACCGAAAACTAAAACTGGATCCATAGTCCACAGACTCCGGAGGACATGGACTGGTCAAGCCACTACCCGGGCATCGAACACCCGTAAGTGTAGATACATACGTACACCTATGTGTGTATGTAGTTATACAGAGAGAGAGAGAGGGGTTTCACTGGGTGGATCATTTACTTACGTATGTACCGTGTGGCCTATTTTCTTGGTGCTTGTGAGTACAGGAGCGTGGACTTTTTGGATGTCGGTTGCGGCTTTGGGGGTCTCACAGGTTGGGAAGGAGGAGTGCGCCATTGCTGTACGTGCATAAAGAGAGGAGATGCCTGAGGATGTCGTGGTTGGTTTATTGTCATTAGTGAAGCTCGCCGAGCTGTTTCCCGACAAGTTGACGCTGGCACTCGAGATCCGTGCCAAAGTGACCGAGTACGTCCGTCTGCGTATCGAGGCACTGCGAGTCGAGAAGTCGTGCCAGTTCCAGAACGTGTCGGTGCTGCGTACGAATGCAATGCGCTATCTGCCGCATTACTTTCGGAAGGGACAACTTAGCAAACTGTTCTTTTGCTTCCCGGACCCGCAGTTCAAGACGCGGCTGCATCGCCGCCGTATTGTGCAGTACGCGATCGACTGTAACAGCTATCGTGCAAATGTAGCTACTGACTAGTGGTTATGATGGTGGTGTTACCGTTCGCAGCACGCCGCTGCTTGCAGAATATGCATTCCTGTTGGCTCCTGGTGGGATCTTGTACACCATCACGGATGTGGAAGAACTACACGAGTGGCACGTAGACAAGTGCTCGAGTCACCCGTGTTTCACCCGTATCCCGGACTGTGAATTGGTACGCTTGGTCTTGTGAAGGATACGAAAGTTGTTGAGGAGGGAAGCACTTTACTGATCCGTTGGGAACAATTGTGGTGCAAACAGGAGTCCGATCCGTGCGTGAAAGCCATGACAGAAGAGACGGAGGAAGGCAAGAAGGTCGCTCGTGGTGGCGGCAAAAAGTATGTGGCCGTGTTTCGACGGAAGGCCAACGAAGATGTTGCGGTCGACAATCTCTTTTGGTGAGAGGTGGACTAGGGCGAGATGAACATGCATACAGAGCTCCACGGAAACGCTGTAGACACCGTGGAGTGGGCTCCTATTTCTCGAATGAATTGCATTGCCTTGCCTTACGTACGGAGTTCGTGCTGTACAGGTTCTAACTTGGTATTTTGGCTTTTTCCCACATGGCTGTCACATTAAACACGCAAAGGGGTCGTCGCTCTGCACCGGTGGCGGCTTCTCTTCGAATCCACAGATATCGTTGCCAGCAAAAGGGTCGTCCACGTCTGGTAGCAACGTTTCGGTTGTAGCAACTGGTGCGAGCTTCAGTGCACTGCTATCCCCGACGCTTGGCACATGAACAGTATCTGCTGTCACGGTAGATGAACTTGGCGAGCCGATGGCGCCTAGACTCAATCGATTGACGGATTGCGAGACCTGAGCACCAAATGACCATGAGGAGCGTGGCGACTTTCTTGGAGGCGTTGATGACGGGCAATTTGTGCCATCTGAGGACGTAATCCCTTCCTTGACAGCAGCCGAAGCGTCGGTAATGTTTGTGTTGATAGTTGTAAGGAAGTCCTCCATCGAGCGCGAAGATGCGCGTCTTTGCTTCCCTATTGTTGCCGGCACACTCTGCGAGCGCAGCTCTATCAGCACCACATTAATATCGCCCTCGGCCTCTTCGAGAACGTCCATGACTCGATCGCTTGTAGTTTGAATGACCACTGTACAACAGACAAACAAAACAAGATGAGCACCGCTTTACGTCGCAGACATACATGAAGTAGACACGATCTTACTGGAAAAATTGCCGTAGTCGGCGTTCATCTCGTGCCAGAGGTAGTCGAAAAGCACAAACACTTCCGAAAAGAGCAGATGGAAGGCCTCATTATCGTAGAACAGTGGCCAGTTGCTTTGTTGTTCGCGGACGAGCTCACCATTAAACTTCCAGAATAGACGCGCCACCATGCACGTTACATTGATACCTGCAGGACCCCATGGATAGGTGTGGTCGTGTGATCCAGGTACCTGGCTGGTCACCATGCGCACGGCTTGGGAAGCATAACGTGATGCGAAGTACACCAGACAGTTCAAACTCAGCATGCCACCAGCTCGAAAATCTGTCGTCGGGTCCGGACGCTGGAAACCTAATCGGCTCCATGATTCGCCAACTCGTTCAAATTGTAGTCCAGTAGCTAAGTCAGTAGCAACATCATCACTAACTGCCTGGTCGTAGCCGCCCACGCCCAACGGATTGCGTTCCGCAGCAGGACAACTTTGCTCGAGAGTCGAAGCTTCGCAATCGTTTTTGAATGGAGATTGCGAGTAAATTGCCATCCAAAGGTCACCAAGCAATTTCTCGTACTGTTCATCACCACTCACACAGTTTTGTTTAAGCAGCAAGAACTGCTCCTGCATGTGCGTCATGTACGGCTCTTTCGGCATGCCGGACTTTCCCTGCCGTGACCAAAGAGCGGTGCCTTCACTGCCACCATTACCGCGCAAAAAGGCAGGCAAGAACTCCTCTCGCCTTTTGTTCCGCAGTAACTCGCGCTTAGTAGCCTGTGCAAGAGCGGCACGCTCGCGTTCCCGTGCTTGCCTATCGAGTCTCACGAGACTCTTGCAGCCATCAGCAACACCGAAATGTAGAGCATAGGCTACCACAGCTCCATCAGCATAGCCGCACACAATACAGCGCTCATCTTGTCCAACGCTCAGACTTGTCAAATCAGCTCCTGCGCGCTTGCAATCGATACGTCGAACCACAGACCGAGGCATACCAGCGTCACGCACTTCGATCGCTGCTTCCGCACCGGCACACGCCGTGATTAAATATTCGCCTGAACGGGTAAATAGTACACCACGATCCAGCACCAAATGTGGTATCGGAGGCTTCTCATCTTCCGTAGTTTCTTCATTGTCACCACTTGTAACAAGTTTGTCGTGGGAGATCACGTGACCGTTGATAGATACCATGTAAAGCTCAGACTGCTTGTCGGAGTCGTCATGCTGCTGCAGCTGTTCGTTGGTAGCGACATACCCGTTGCTGGACAAACTACCAGCCACCATGCTGCTACTAGCACTTCCTTCGCCAACCGTGAGTCTGGCCTTGTCGTCCGAGAAGATCGAACTTGCACGAGAGTATCGGCCACTCCACTGCGTCCTGTGAGTTGTGATGGAGTGAACCAGCGTATCGCCCTGTGCCGAAATGACCATGTGAGCAACAACAGACGACTCCATCGGTCCGGGTGTGAGCGCCAAGGCGTGAAGAGGAGTAGACCCGCGCAGCGAATGCAGCAGAAGTACGTTGTCCTTAGAGGCGCTAACAACAACATCCAAGTCGACATTGAGCGCCACGGCAACGACTGGGCTCGTATGACCCACTAGAGAAACCCACGGCAAACCACCAACAGGTAGTTCCTTTTTAAGAAAAAGGCGCCGAGAGCGAGACGCCGAAAGCTTCGACAGAGCCCAAACCGAGACAGTGCAATCTTCGCTACCAAAAGCCAGCGCCAGATCACCGGTAAAATCGTCTTCGCTTCGTGCCATACACAAAATAGGCTTTTTGTGGAAAGCAATTCGTTGCAAAAGCTCGCCATCAGCTGCCCAGTGAATGCGCCAGCTGCCATCCCAGTACCCACAACTTATCATTTGCTCATAGAACACTACTCCTTCGTTTACGAGACAACCTGCGGGAAGCTTCCACCACTGGTCGACGTCCACCATTGAGAATGGGCAAGAGCGCACCGTATCGGGAACCGAATTCAAGTAGCGTTTTGCCAACACAACACCATCGCTATCTGTTGTGTACACAACAACTCCATGGTCGTTACTGCCAGTGCTGTGGGCTCCCATGCCGGTGCCACTGCCGAGTCCGGGACCGGATCCAGTGAGCGCAGTAAGCGCCGCTGCATGATTCAGAGCATTGGAAAAGCGGACGCTCTTTATGGCAGCAGTGTGCTTCGACGGAAGGTCGTGGCGACGGACCTGTCGACGCGATGAGAGCACAGCCATGCTATGCGAGGCTGGGTATCGTGCCTCAAGTGACTTATCTTGAGTCATTCTTGCCGGGTGTGGCTTCCGGAATAGCTGTATAGGCACAGTCCCCCGCTGAACGAGTTTCGCTCGCACACCGTCGCTCGAGCTACAAAGATCCAGGCGCTCCGGATAGCAGGCGATATGGTATGAGTTCAAACTGTCGACAGCAGGTGAACCCGTCTGCTTGAATCCGAAAATGAGATCGATCCAGTGGTGGAGGTTGCTCGACACAAAGTCGCTCTCAAGGGCCAAACGGTGAAGTCGCACAAATTCGTATGGCGACGCAGCCCACGGAGGTAGTGCTACTTCACGCGCCAGACATGCCGTCGCACTGATGCTCTGTCCTGGACTAAAGTGGCGCGCCAAAATTTTGTTTCGGGCGCTTGAAAATAACTCCGGTAGGTAGAAAAACTCTGGCGTCAGCTCAAACATGTGACGGTCGTCACTAGTGCACATCCGAAATGCATCAAGCATTGAATCAAACGTTGGTTCTCCAGCAGTCTTGTGGTAGAACCGCTGCTCCTCGCTACCCAGAACAGCTCCAGTAAAAGGTGCAAGCCGGATTAAGAAGTATAACACAGACTGCAAATGCGAGTACCCGTTCGCGTAGTGACATGCTGGGATAGGCATCTTCGGATCCCAGCCCTCGTAAGTTGCTCGCGCACGCTGAATACCTTCAGGCGTTTGTGCACCAATCGGTCGACGTAAGTCCCGATACACGTCTTCATCATCTAAACGGAGCTCTGAAGACTCATAATCCTTGATCACCCATGGAAAGACAGGGTACTGCGAGGCATCGTTGTAAGAACGGCCCGCTGATACATTCAGTGCCATCAGGTATTCAAAATTGCTGATCTCACGTCGAACCCACATTTCGGTCCACTTGCTCTTTGAAAACATTCTCTCAGCTGTCAACAATCTCTTGCCCCACTTTGCAAGACACGGGGGTTTGCGCTCTCGTAAAATAGCGTACACGAGATCAGCTTCCCCATAGCTCTCGAGTCCGAAGAAGCACGAACTGCCATCCACGAAGTAGATTTCAAGGCCGTTCTGACCTTCCATGAGGAAACGCCGTCGGTGAATCACACGAATGACACGAACGCCCCACACACGACGTTTCAATTGCGACACGTATGTTTCGTGAAGGAGCTGTGCACTGCGCTGCCGAGCAGCAACACCCCCATCCTCATTTGACTTAAACGCGTCAGCAATGCCGCGCAGTGTTACCACGCGCTCACCTTCGAAGACAATCGTCGCTGCGCCGATACGTAGGGCCCCGTGCACCAAAACGCCCGACGGCAGAACAAGGTACGCCTTAGTACGGTACGGTGCTCCTAACGTTTTCCAGTGGTCATGCTTACTAGGAAAATTCTTGATCACTCGCGATGACGACGCAGGGCCTGACAAAGGTGGTTCCATCGGGCTGGCAGGTTTAGTACTTTCCTTGCTTGGGGATGCCGCAGCTTCACTTTCCATTGTATCTGGGGATGCTAAATCCTGCGAATCTTGCGTAACCCCGCCTTCATCCGAAATACTCGAGACGCTTCTATCATAACCTGAGCTCTCCTGTCCCGTCGATCCTGACAAAGTGGCTGACCGTGTACCTGCCAAACGCTTGATACCAGAAGAGAAGCGTGTTGATATCGTGCCAATGCGACCCTTTGCTGACTTGACAGTGGTAGCCACGTCCACAGAGACAGCACGACGCTCCCTAGACTCGTTCGTCATAGCTTTAGCAGCATCATCGAAATCGTGTGGCGGTGGCGGTAGCGGTGCCAATAGTGCAGTTGATTCATGATCTGAATTAAGACCTATAATTTCCAAGTGCAGCGATGAACGTGCGACATCTCTAACGCTGCTGCTGCTGCGCATGCGATCGCGCAGCATCGAGAGTGCTCTGTCCCTGCGGCTATCACCACCTTCCTGTTGTGTTGCATTGTTATCGTCATCTAGGTACCCCACGTCACTGAGGCGCCGCGCCATCCCGACATACCCCGGATCTTCATTGTCCACAGATTCGGATCCGTCTCCACCACTGCTATCAGTGCGGGTCTCGTCTTCTTCTTCCTCTTCCTCAAACGCCTGATTCATCGAATCACCTGATGCCACAAGAGTCGCACCATCTACGACGATCGAATCCGCCACCGGCATTACCAATTCGTCCGGCATATTGTTGACCATATCTTGCTTCAGACTCAACGCAGAAAAATCCGCATTGTAGTGATAAGAAACAGTGTCATCTGTATCTGGGAGCAAACGACAACGGATCCAATTGCTGGACGTGTAGATATCTACACGCCAAAACTCATTGTCGCCCCAAAGGCCAGTGATGGTACTGTCACCTACAGAGTTCAAAGTAGCCTCTTCTTTCCCACCCCAAACGTGACGAACGCCCCATTTCGCCAACACCCGAAGTTTCATCCAGTCGTCAATATCTTTGGCCTTTACACGTTCCAACCAAACGTGATCCTCGCTATCGTTAGAAGACCCGCTTAGTGGAGGTGCAGAGCGAGTGAATTTGCTGATTCGCTCCAGCTCGGTCTTTGCTCGGTTCTTTTCATTGGCTTCCTCGTCGAACATACTGACCCGACGTAAAGCGCGAATATCACGTGCGTGCGCCATCTGTTCGTGGTAAAAGCAATCACGACGACGAACCTCTTGGTTGTTCGCGGTGAAGTCGCTCCGAGCAAGCAGCTCGCCAAGTTCGTCCGACGAACGCAGAGGCACGGACACCAGAGACGCCAGAATGCTTGCTAACTTAACTGCCGACTCGGACCAGCACTTCTGTCGAACGCGGTCAATCAGCAGAGAGAGCTCTGGAATCAGCCACAAGAGGAGCGTTGTTTCATCACCAGGGACAGACTTTACACACAGAGATGCTGTGACTAATCCAGCCGTTGTTGTCATGCCATTCGAACCGGAGCGAGAAGGCGCGAAGCTCGAGTCAAATTGCGCGGTCTCGTGACCCAAGCCCATTGCGTTGATAAAATACTCCAGTTTGTTAATGCGTGCGAAAAACACCGAGTTGGCTGGAAGCCGCAGCTTTACCGATGAGAGTTCATCATTTTCGACGTCATCGCTGCAAGCTGATGCGGCGTAGTCATCGGATATGAGAACGAGGTACAAGCAACGCAGTAAGAGCTGCAAAATTTGGCGCATCGGGCCTCCGGGGTGAGGACGAGCGGAAATAATACTGCTGCCTGACGACAGTGCCGGTGACGGATTGGACACAGGTGTGTTAGGACCACCTCCGCTAGGTAGCAGATTGAAGCCGAACCCGAGCATACTTGCACTGCTATTGGAACGTGCAGAGGAGCCGAGCGATGGAGGACTTTGCAAGCCGCTCTCGACCGAGCGCGAAGCTGTACTACCACGGCGGATTTGAGCGTTGCTGGATCGCCGCGCGAAGCTGGCATCGGAATCTGAGTGGAAATGAGATGCGAAATGCTGCCAGATGCCTAAAATTGAGTCCACAAGCTCAGCCTCGTGCCAAATGGCTCGCTCGCATTTCCAAAACACTAAAGAATGGGTCGCGACTTCGCTGCATGTACTCGCCATCCTACTGGGATCAACGTTTCCCAGAGTATCTGGGTCGTAGTGCAGTACTACAGCCGCTGCCAGCGATGCTAAACTCTCAGCATTCCGCCACAAAATAGACTCGCGCGATGGAGTACCTTCGTTGATGCGCAAATTCATTTCAGCCGAAAGCATTTCATTCATTTTGTCCAGTGTGGTCTTGAGCAATGACACGACGACCATCTCTAACTCCTCTGCCGAAGTAATAAAGCGCGATAGAGCAGTAAACGGGTCCTGCAGTAAAAACCATGCCATTTCATTCGTTTTTACTTCCAAGCAGATCATGGACGAGATGACGTCGTATGACATGTGCGTAATAAAATCCACACACCCACTGGGCTGGAACACAGCCATTAGTTCCACAAGCGCTAGTTTCATGCGGCTTGACATATCATTGAAGCAGCTGGCGCTTATACCTTGCTTCTTGCGATCGCCATCCCCGTGCAGCGCCAATAGACCACGCACGAAGTCAACATCGTCCTGGGTGATAATGGAGTACAGCGCATTTATGCGAACCTCATCCGGTTCCTGTGTGTTCAGCACCATGTCTCGAAGTCGACTCATGGTGACACCAGGGCATCCGCGCAGCTCTATACCGAAAAGCGATGATGGTGGTGATGGTGAAGACTCGTGTTGGAGCTGCTGATCTCCACGAAGACTCAGAATAGCCTCAATGATGGGGACTTGCTCTGTCGTTGACGATTCAGTCGCTGTGCCATCCATATTTGATATACTTCCGAAAATTAGAACATGGCGGTTGATCGCGCTGGCAAAAGTGGACGACGCAAACACAATCTTTAGGTGGCGGATAGCAACCATACGAACTGTGACAGTGCTAGCGCGCAAGAGCCCCAAGAAAGCAGGCATCATATTATTGTGCCAAATTGTCGCAGTGGCTAGCACATTTTCGTCGATGAGTCCATCGTATGCTGCCGTTTTTCCATCTAACGCTTTCATATTCTCTTCTGTCACTTGGATTCCCAGAATCATGAGCAGAATTTCCGAGTACACCCCCATAGATACAGGCCTCTCGTCAGGTTTAAGCGAATGCATGATCAAATACGCATCTCCGACAGAAAGTTGTATCTTGTCCGTTTTATTGGGCAACTCACGATCTTGAGCACACCCGCATTTCAAAAACAGATACGTTCGTAGCAAACGCAGAGTCATGACACGGATCACATCATTCGAAAACTTCAACAGTGGCAGCCAAATACGGAGACCGCCCAAGCGACCAAAGAGGTCCAGCATTCCTGTCGGGGCTGAGGACTGTACCGATAACTCAATCAATAGTTGCAGCAAGTCGGGCAAATCCATTTCTGGCACGTTCTCGATGACAGGTCCGCCCCCGTCGAGGTCGCCCTCGGACACGGTCTTGGAACTTGACGAGGACGAGACGGTTGCTGACGATGATGTCCCATTTGGTGGACTACTCTCCTGAACGGTCGGCGTCCCATCAATGTTTATTCCTGGGATCATGGGATTGCTAGGCTTGCCAATCATGCAGAAGATAAGGCATCGCGTGCTGTCGTACGACAGCTGAGACTTCACCTCCTTGCCTTTCCCAGGAAACGGCATCACCGAACCAACGTTCTTTGCTACGGGAGATTCACACAACACGATCCGGATCATCGCCAACAAACGCTTTCGTAATAGAGTAATTTCCTCTGAAGTAAAGTTACGAGTGCGTCGAAGGGTCGTTGCAGTAGGAACCTTCCAGTAAATCCACGACAGACAGCGCACGAAGTGACGTGTAGAAGCTGGGGACAAGTTTTTGCTGTCCTTACGTGTCAAAATCTCCAGTTTGTTAAACAATGTGTCTTGAAGATCAACGGGGGCGTTCACCCATATCCGAAAATTGAACAGCAGAAATTTATAAATCTCGTCCGCCAGAATGCGATCCGACATTACCGCGCTGCGCAATCGCTCAATTGCGATCAGAAGATCGGATGTCAAGTACTCTGGTGGCAATGAGCGCATCAGCAATGCCATAAGGCGCACGCCTTGGCTGCGTCGGAAGATAAATTTGTTAACTAGTGAATGGCGCATGATTTCTGCAATCAGAAGTACGACCTTTGGAATGCTGTGGACACCCATCGGACGAGCGAGTAGATCGCTCATTTGTCGGAGAAAACCTGAATCCTCGTCGAATTGGGTCGCCAAAACCACATTCAGTCTTGACAGATCGTTACTTTTGGCAGAACATGGCTCTGATTTGCCATCTCCGTTCAGACTGGTTGCTGTATCATTCGGCGTCGAAACAACCGTAGTTGTAGATATCACCAGTAGCGGAAGACAGACAAGCGGACCTCCGAGCTGTGCCACTGCTTGCTTGAATGTCCCTGCATGCCTTAGTCGAACTCCTGCACTGGCAGCAGCCGCATGGAAGTCATTGCCACTCGAATCATAGCACATCCCTTTTAGTCGATCGCAGTGCCGGGCATCATAGGCAAGCAGCAATCCGTCGGTCGAGCTTCCAGCACCGCTGGTTCCTCCGGAAGCCCCAGTTGACCCATTAACGCCACCACTCGATGACGTGGACGACGACGAGATATACGAGTTGAACTGAAACACTAGCGCATCGTACTCGTCGACGCTGCTGATGTTGCTGATAATGCTGGCTGGCAAAGCTTGTCCGAAAAGCGCTGTAGGCCCGAGTAAGATGCGTAGAGAGTTAGATCCATTGCTTTCGCGCATAGCCAGATATGCCTTGACAACAGGAGCCATGAGTGCTGTGTTCGGGTATGCCAAGCGCACGCTCTGACGTAATTCAGAATTCAAATAAACGTCCAGTCTCGATCCACGGAACTGGCGATGTGTGTGCGTGATACACAAGAAATGCCACCTCCCCGGCGTGACGAGATCAGACACCTCAACGTGTCCGTCATTCTTTCGCTTGTCAAAGCTCGTAATCATCAGCGACGAGCGCACAAAGGAGCACATGATACCGACTCCAGTTTTCCCACAGAAAGTAACAAGCGGCGCCGCTTCCTCGGGCAACAGCTCAAACTTAATCCACGCACAAAACGTATACCCGTTGCTGGGGAACGCTGGTAGTACAGGCATCAACAATCCCGAAAACTCGCCGTTCAAGTCAAAAAAGGATGCGGGCCCAAACGAGTCGCGCGCAATCATCTCGAGCGTCGCCAAGTAGCAGCTCACGGCCTCATCATCAGGTGCCTCGTGCACCATGCGTCTGCTACGAAACACGGCGAGCATGGCCTGAATGTCGTCAATGCTCACCGAGTGGTAAGCCAAGTAGAGAAACACGCGCAGCAGTTTCTTGAGCACTGTCTGCGGAAACCTCGGGTCGGCAAACAGACCGCGGTCACTCAGGAACGTCAGGATCTCACGCTGTAAACCAGCCGTCGAACAGGCTTCGACATTGCCGCAGCTGCTGCGTACGAGACTAATGAGCGCCTCCAACGCCCGAACCTGCTCGCTCTCTTCCAGCACGCCAATAATGGTAGTGAACAGTGTCTTGAGGCGTGACGGTCGTCGGATCTGTAGTCGCGTCGCGTCTTCGTCGCTGTAGTCCTTCCCGCCCACTAGTCAGGACAATAATTGCATTGCAATACACAGATAGACATGACAATATGACGTTAAAGCAAGAGTGAAGGTCAGTCACTACATTCATCATCATCAGGATGCAGATGAGGCGTACGCAGGTCCCGTAGGAAAGTGGAAACGGCCGAGCCCGACTCCCCCGAGCTCATCTTGTCCGCAAGAGGGGGCGACGTCTGCGACTCGAGTGTCTCTCTCGCTCTCTTAAAGACTGATCCGTGGATGACACTTGTTTCGAATGGCGTCTTCCCCTTGCCACTGGATGGCATACAAAGACCAAGTAGTTGACCACTTCGTGTCGCCTCCTGTTTTGGCAAATCCGGTTGGTAAGATGGGTACACTTGGGAATACGAGAGACACTCGAAGGACGCAATTAGGTTGACTACAATTAATTTCGGGAGAATTAATTACGCCTTCAGCGGCTTACCACAATTAATTTCGGGTAAATTAATTATGTCTTCAGCTTCTTTCTGCTCGGTGGGCAAAGGTGGAGGTAGTGAGTGGCCAGAGACAAAGAAAATCGCGCTGCAGCCGAAACAGAACGCATGCACTTGTAAATATGGTGTTAAAAGGTATCATTTGAATTGCTCACATCGACCGAGTGATCGTACACACTGTGGGTCAACGCGGATATAACAGCTGCAATTCCATTGCTTCTAACTTGTTACATTTTCACGTTGTGCCGAGATCGCTTGAGTCCTTCGTACATCGTCACTTTGTGAATAATCTGCGCAAATGGCTCATGCAGAATGTTTTTCAGTGTTTGCAAGCGTTTTCCTCGCAAGATCACAAGTAACGCTTGTCTTCACCTCACGCCTGCATCGTTCCCCAAATTGCAGGCAGTTGATCGCACTGCGTGGTTTCGCATACATACGATGGTGCAGAGTGGAGTTCTTGTCATGGCAAAGCGTCACAACCGTCCCATTTGACGTACAACATCGATCTAACATGATTGCAGCAAACACTGTTGTCTACAGCAGAATCACACCGAACGTATCAGTTGCAGCTCCACAACGGACCGCCGTAACTTCGCACTCCTCGCCTCGTCTCTTATTTTCAGATGCTAATGGTAATAGCGTGGCGTCAGCTTCAGTCCACGCGGCCCTTACAAGCTTGTCAACAGCAACGTCTTCCTCTTGTTCTACGTGCTTCAACTGTATCGAAAGAAGTCGTGCTTCCATGGAAGAAGGACGCCTGACCGTATCGTCGCCGGTTGCACATTCTGTTACGCTTCGTGCCATGCGCAAATAATCGCGGATCGCATTGACAACGCGACAACACCCTTTCTAAGAAGAAGATGCGAATGTTACCATCTCGTTCTTTGGACGCTCAGAGGCTAACATCCATTCGATCGATGATGCGCTGATCGTGATTTTGCATACAAAAGGGCCCAGAAAATAAGCGTTACTTGTCTCAGTCAGCGTAGACATCCTACTAGCACGTCTAGCTGCCAGCGCTGGATCCAGCGCTGCACAACTAACGAGCTTTCCTATTCTCGAAAAAAGGTCTGCAGTGTCTGTCTGCACCAATGTCTTTGACATCTAGCAGGCTATGTGTGCAATTCGTAGTGGTTTATGAATGCTTCCGTGTTGGATCGGCCTTGCATCTTTCCTCACTTGCGTGGTCTTGTAAGCGGTAGGCAAGGCATTAACAAACACACTCGAACAGAGTGAATTCTGGTGTCTCGAGTCCCTTTAGGCTACGAGCGCCATCGTGTCGCAATCTGGTTCTTCCACCAGGGTTCTCGTGCTGATGTCAGTGGAGCTCAACGAGCTGATAGGAGCACCACTCACTTATTCCTGATGAAGCTGAAAAGGCGGAAGGAAATGGAAAAGAATTCATGTTCACCTCTACGAGGATACACGCCGATGCGAGGTTTCTGTCTGTTCAAGCTTCACAAAGCTGAATTTCAATGCAGAAAATCCAACGCAACGAGGACGAGCAAGGAGGACTGCACCAGCGCATCAAAGTTTCCACTTTTGCTGGATCGTACGAGGCCTGTCCCACGTCGAGCGTAGACTACCTCGTTAGTGTGAGACAATGTATGTTTAATGGATACGTCAGGTCGAGCTTCTCCAGCAGTATAGACCACATCTTCGCTCTTCATAAATACAAATGTGTCGAGCTGGCGCATAGAACAGTGCCTAATATTAGTAGTCGCGAGACATTAGAAAACGAAAGTTTCGATCATCAGTTCGTGGTCAGGAGGATACTGTCGACAGTTTCAACGACACTCGCTACAACGTGTTGCAGACGGAGAGCGAGTGGGTAATGTGCATCGAGCGAACATGAAACGCGGAGAGGTATGCAAACGTTCTATCTAGTACGTAAGAAAAGGTGTGTTCATCGCATCCAGACGGCTTGGATGCAGTGAGAAGTAGCATCTTTGTACTTCATGCCGTCACAGTTCGAAGCTCAAGGACCTCGAGCTCGGACTTGTAAAGTAAATGTAGCTGAAGCTCTTTAGGTTGTTCAAAAGCTGTGGTTGGAACGTAACGAACAACAGTTCGTGTTCATTCATCACTGAACTGCCCGCTGCAGTCGTAGATTGTCGATTCTTTTCTCAGATCGATCCAGTTCGTCCGAAACAACATCCGCACGCAGTTTCGACTCCCCTGTTTATGCACCTCACGCAACATCCTCACGATCACCGTCCTTAAGTTGCTGCTCATGTGTGCCACACATTTTTCGTGAACTAATGCTGCCGCATCGACTTCCTGTGGCCACGACCTGGAGACAGCGCGCGCTACCACGTCAGCGGGTCCTGTACTACGTGCTATGTGTGTTGATTGTAGTAACGGCGCTGCAGGTGCTTCGATTCGTGTACAGAAAGTGCGACACGCGCCTTCACATGTCACTGCTGCTGACCAAAACGTCGCGGATCCTCAAGCGCCATAATGTCGAGTATTGGCTGGACAAGGGCACGCTGCTTGGCGTACACCGAGACGATGAGCTCATACCGTGGGAGTATGATGTGGATCTGGGCGTCATGAACGCAACGTGCAGTGCGATCGCAGCTCTGAAAAGTGACTTTGAAGCTGTCGGACTCACGGCATTTGATCGCGAAGACGATATCCCGCACAAGGTGAAGCTCACGTATGATACCGAGAACCACCATCTTTACTGGTCGGATTCTCGGCTGCATGATCCGTGCATAAGGGTGTATGATACCAGGGATACAAGCATGTGGGTGGACATTTACTGGTATGTAGAGCTTACACCCGAGGAAGTGGCAGCGGATCGCACAAAGGTGCTGGTGCCGCCGGACTATAACGAGAACGACAGCCTCGTGTGCTGCTCCGAGGGGCTGCAAGCACATACGGAGCACATGTGCTGCGGTGGCTGCGTGCCGAAGAACTTGCTGTTTCCGCTAGAACAGAAGCACGTGAATGTGTATGACGGTATCGAGTCTGTCCAGGAGCAGCCGGTACCAGCAGCAGCGTCGCAGTACTTGTCGATTCAGTATGGCAAGAACGCACTAGCTAGTCGTGAGATCAAGGTACGACACCTGAGTTGTTGGCTGCATGTGGTTTATTCTCCACGGTGGCGAGTTAACACACTTGCTTGTCATTTGTATTGCAGGGATGGAAGAGCGTGGTGTGTGGTTTCTGGACGAGTCCGCTGCTGTTCATCGTGCATCTGACCCTCTTCATCGGCATGTTGCTCGCAATCGCGATCTTGTATCGACGCAGATGCTTGACAACAAGCTCAAAGAGAAGAAAGCTCTAGAGGCAGATTCGGACAGCACGCCGTCGCTAGGTAGAGCAATGTGCATGAATGGTATACCGCTGGATTGGAGTACGAACGACTGTCCGCTGACAGAGTAGTCGAGTCAATTGGCAACTCATCATCGACCGCTGCAACGTCCACACGATGCATTATGTTTATGCAACTTCCGTCGAACGCAGCACTTTTTCCTGTGCAAAGTGAGGCCTCCAAGGATCGATCATCGATGGACAAAGCGTCACTCTTTCTAATTTTGCAATGGTTGGTTTCGTGTGGCCCTTCGTGTCTGCTTCGTTGCGTGTTACAACAGCCAGCTGTCTATTTTTGGCAGGTTTCAGCGCTCTCCAGTGGTGCTGGTGCCGCACGGCCCATCGTACTCATACACCGCTTTTGACAGGGTACTTATTCTCACATCTTCAGTCGCACACGTGTTGCAGCGAGCTCGTCTCACAATCCGCATGTGATAGTGCTGGGCCACATCAACATATCGTTTCTAGCAGGGTATTCGATCCGACATCTTCAGCCACCCCGTCTGTACCCACCCTTCTGTCGCGACGACTGCACAACTGCATTCATTATCCAATCTCACTCGTCGAGCGCAAGTGATTGCAGACGGCGCAATTATCATCGTGGTCTCCAGCCTGTCACCCGCATCTACACGTCCGACACACAAGAAAGAGACACACCGCGATGGACGAAGAATTTTCCACGGTGATGCCGCCACGTCCGAACGCTAAGCGACTGCATCGCAAGTCCGATTCCTCGCCCGAGGTCTTGCTCCAACAGCAGCAACAGCAACGTCTGAAGCGCGAGACGAACCTCACGCGCGAACTCATCGACTTTGACTTGATCAAAGGGTACGATCAAGAGCTGAGACTATAACTATAAGCGGATGCGGATGCTGATGATGGTTAGTGATGCCCTTGCTAATGCTGTGCCACGTGATCTCTCGTGCTAATGTTCAAGGTCAGCACTGTTCCATACGAAACCTACAAGCCACGACCGCAAGCTCGTGCAGAAAGGGTTCACCCGTGCCCTATTTCTGCCGTTCTATCCCGCCTTTTGGCAGCACAAGCCGTGGCTTTATCGGACATCGACGGCGCTCTACGCACTGCACTTTACCGCCGTATGCATTTACATTTTCCAGCACAAGACGACGTCGCCACATAATGTGTTCGAGGTGTTGTTTCCAATATTCCTGTTATTCCTGGTGGCAATTGCCTACGGTCGCGTGTCGAGCGCATTGCAGATGCCAGATATTGCCGACCCGGCATGCAAGATCCTGTCGCCTGCGAAGCAGGTGATGGCAACTGTTTGCGGCTCCGAGTTGGACAATATACAGGCGGCTTCAGGACTGGGCTCAGCACTTGCGGAGTCTGAGAACTCGGATGGCACCGATAGCGACGAAGACAGTGGCAATTCGTCGTCGTCCAGCGACGAGTCGAATCCTAATGATGACATGTTCCCGCACAAAAGTAACTCTGCTCCGTCCTCTCCAAAACGCGTACGTCTTCTAGCTACTCTTGTTGTTTCATGTGCACTCGACGTGTGACACTCACGTGTTCGGTTGTATCGATCTGTATACAGACGCAGGTACTTCGCCAATTGATCGGTATCCCGTCAATGCCTTTGCCGCCACGTGTACCGTCAGGCTTAGGATTTGACCGTGACGACCAGTTTGCTAGAAGACGTGTGACTGTCTGCGTTTGGGAGCACGGCAGTCCCGTAAAACGAGCCATGTCGATCACGGAGCTACGGAGTACGATTCTTGCTAAGGTGAGCATTGTCTACGATATGCAAGCGAGTACTTTGAGACCTCTCTCTTTTGGTGATAGCGACTCACTTGTATTCTCTACTGCTCTTTGTTTGTAGGTGAAGGCTACACACGTTCGTATGTTTTACCGCAAGATCGCAGAATTTGCTGCGATTGTTCTTGCGTTGGTGCCGATTGCACTACGATCAGCGACGAAATGTCAGGAGTTGAATTGCCTCACAGCGACGCAGGAGCCGCTCGAGATGCTCGTACGGATATCCCATCTATTCAAGGAGCTTTCGGTGGATCGTCTCTATGTACACGCTGAAGAGCTTGCGTCTGGCGCGTCCGTGATCTCGATTTCGTGCATGTTGACAACGTATTACTTGGCATCCATCATTTTCGCTGCCCTCGCCGACGCCGAAGTCACGTACCACCGCCGATTCTTGTACGTGCAAATGACAGTTATCTCACGTTGTCGCAGTTTGCAATAGCTCACTCTGTTTTGTCTGTAGATACGCCAAATGTTTCACGGCATTAACGTCGTCACGGCGCGCGCGAATGGCAAACCTTCCCCACTTCCGCTTGAAGAATGTGGTGAACATAAAAGCGTGGATCTCGCTTCGTGGTGGACGCACTTGGCTGAAGCGACAAGGCCGCCAACGTGCAGCCGATGAAATCGTGTCGACGTCATTTTTGATCATCCTCGTGCTGCTCGTCGTCATGGGAATGCAGGCCGTATCGGATGGATCCGGCTCGCTCTCGGCTGATAGCATTGTTCCGATCGAAGTGACAATTTGGTGCATGCTTACCTCGTACGTGATTGTGCGATGGTGTTGTCTTCTCTTCCGAAGCAGCGACCAACGTTTGTGCCTTCTGTTGTTTCTATCCTTGCAGCGTGTTCATGCTGCGTTTTATGATGCTGGGCTCTAACATCAACAAGAAGTACCAGAACACATCGCTGCTATTGACAGAGCAGGTTGGTGATTGCGTCTCGATTATCGCGCTTTTTTGCTCGTTGTGGGAAGCTCACCTTGCTGATGTCATTGTGGTCATACAGATGAACGTTTACCTCCGTCTGCTGGCCAAGCCGCACAAGAAGGACAAGCTTCTTGTATCGAACAATGTGTTGAAGCTTGCGTGTAAACTACTAAAGGTGCGTTTCTTTCGAAGCGCTTAGCAAATGATCTCTCGTTCTGTAGCTCGAGTGTGTTGTTAACCTCGTGTCTGATTTTTCTGCAGGAGCTGAACTCGCCCAACAAGGTGTCAGGCCTGACCATGAACCCGCTGCTTTATAACGTCACGCGTGTGGTAGTTTTGTCCGCCTTTTCGTCCACTGCGTCCGACTTTTTCGGCTTCAAGTTGAAACTCTGGAAGCTCAAGGCGTAAGGTGCACCTGGCAGCAGACGAATGCTGTAGGCAAAGTCCAGTGTGAGTGGCAGGACGACAAGTGAGAGACGGACGGGTATGTTGAATGAAGAAGCATGGACGCAGAGGCCTCTTCTGTGCCCGCACTGCTTGCGATTTGCTGCTAGAGTAGCACCTCGCTTGCGTCGCAGCCTCGCGGGTCTCAATTAATGAGCGTGTCAACTCGACGACACGTGACAGCGGCACCCGGTTGCGCCATGGGGCAGAAAATACAGCACATCCATCTCGCCGTCTTCTTTGCGTCGATTCTTGTGCTACTTGAGACAAAGCTACATGTACCCAATCGGCCGTCACGTCGTCGAACGTGAACCCACTCACTCGCCCATTCAACCGAGACATTGGTCGATACAATACTGGTCACACGTGACGCATGAAAGAACTAACAACCATTGAACCCGTAAAAGTGTACGATTAAGTTACCTCCTTATTGAGAGGACAGGGACGACGCGGATCTCCCGCTATCACAAAGCAAACCTGACTGTTAAATAACGTGCATCTAAAAGGGCGGGGTCGGGAACTCCCGCGATGTCCGAAGCAAAAGCGACTCGAGCTTGGACGGTTTCGTCGGGCAGATGGGCGTTCGATCCACTTCGGCGTCAGCAACGCCCATGACCTGCGGTTCCTCGGCAAACGAGACACGCACAGACTTGTGCTTGCCTCCTCCCCCAAGCGGTTTCTGCAGCGTGTCCACCATAGCGTGATCCACTTTTAAGCGCTGGTACTTGAGCGTGAACCGCTTCATGTACGAATCAGCGGCAAGCAGGAACGGCAGAGCCTGTTCCGGTTTGTTCTCGTGCCAGAGCTGGGCGCCACGGTCCCGTGCAATGGACATGGCGCGCCAGAGCACGGAAATGTCCCGACTGCTGGCGTCAAAGCCGCTTAAAAGCGGGAATTCACTAATAGCGGACGGACTGCTGGGCGGGGAGGTCACTATTTCTTGGGCTTGAATGACTGCCATCGTCCACATCTGCTCGGCTTCCATGTGCAGCGTCTCGTGGCGCTCCGTCTGCTCCAATAGCTGCGACATGCGGTTCCGCGCGAGTTCCAAGAACCGCACGCACGTGTGGGGCTCGTAGACGCCCATTTCACTTAAAATCGCCAGCTCTTTGGCCACGGCAAAGAGATTGCGCTCCATGACGACGCTGTTCATGTCGGAAGCCCAGGCCTCGACGAGGATCATCTTGAGCTTGAGCTGTAGCGAGAGGCCCATGAGGCTCCGGCGCAAGAGCTCTTCGCTCCGGTTCGTGCCGGTAGAAGAAGAAGAAGAAGTCGCTGTTGTAGCCGATTCTTGCAGCACGGGACTCGGAGCCATGTTCAATGGCATGGCCAGGATCTTGCTCGAGTCCACGGGCTCGATGCTACGACGGCGTTTCTTACTGGTCGTCGCAGTGGTAGGACGGGGGAGTACAGTCATCATGGTGGAGGGTGGGTGGGTGAGTGGGTGGGTGGTGGTAGTTTTCCGGCTTTGACTTGATTTTCGTCTTGCTAGAGGAGCTGTGGAATGACTCGGTTACGGTTGGGGCGCGACCGCGGGTTTTGAGAAATGAGGGAACGACAGGTTTGCAACGGACTGTGGATTTTCGCCCCGACCAGCCACTCCCTCAGTCAGTCAGTCACACACACTGAGTTACACTCAGTCAGTCAACGGGCAATGACCGACAGACAGACAGACAGACAGCCAGCGCTAAAGCCGCAAAAACGGTAGCGGTTAGAGCCGAGCCAACGTCAGCGCTCGCCCGCTCTTACTGGGGGATTGAAAAGAGCGGGTTCGTTGCCCGCGGCTGGCTCCGACTCGTTTGCCCGTGCCAGCCTGGCCACAAGGCAGCATGGCACGCGGCCAGTGGACCCAGCAGACGGTGCGTTTGTTTATTGTTCGTATTACGCCCGTTGCGCCGGCTGGCGGTATTTGTCCGGTCGAGCACTTCTCACCGACGTCCTCCGAGGACGTCCTTGGCACGAAAACGAGTGTAACTTTGCTACAGCTTTCGTTTTCATAGCACGGGAATCGTTTAGACTAGATGGACGACTGCGTGCAAGCCGGCGACTTGACTGGAGTTCCGACAAGTCGCAGCTTTGGACGTTTTGCGACTGTCTCGTTACTTTCCTTCCAGCACATGCCAGATGTATGGACACCATTGAGATTGGAGGAAGCGCTTGGAAGCACTAACAAGTTGCGGTGCAGCATCTGCCAAGTTTCTCCATCCATTCATGACCTGGACGTGTACGCGAAAGACGCTGTCGAGCAAGACGCGAACAACTGGATGGCACATTGCTAGTAACCGCTCTGAGGTCACGCCCTTCAACATGCAACAGCGTTCACAGCGCTACTGCCTGAAGCAAAGGGGGTTTCGAGCTTTAAACCGTCGCGCATCACGACTGGCTGCTAGCTGTTAGCGAACGATAACGTCGGGATAAACGACCACGACGATCCGAGTTTGGCGCACAATAGCCAACACCTCTTTTCTGACGTTGTCGCCGTGTTGCCCCTTCGCATGCATCTCGTTTCTGTGCATGCACTGACTATTGTAGCAGCTCAGACGCAAGGCGATTCAGAAAACGGCCGGACTGTCGCCTTGTCCGCGTGGCTGGGATGCTGTTAGCAAATCCTTTCAACGGATTGACCCGTACGCCCACCCCTTGATTCAATCAGCGTATTCACCACCGAAAGGCACAAACAAAGGCCAGCGGGAGACTCAGTACTGGCGACTCGCCCATAGTGCCCGATCGGAACCAACCGGACAGTGCTTGACATGTTTTTCTCACGGCTACCTTCATGTCCCTTTTCGTTTTCCACGCAATTCATTGGCAGCGCGTACAGCTAAAGATTTGGTTCCATTGCACCGGTACATATCCGGATATGTATCAAGCCGGAAGACTCGTCTTCGGAGTCACCGCACAGGCTTCAGTTCGGTGCGAGAGACGGAGAGATGGCTAAAGAGTGACCGTGGGTCCGCGACATTTGTCGTACCTTTTGCGTGAGAAAAACACACTCTCTTAATCACCGCTGCATCTCTTGGATTAAGTATGCGGTTCTCCGCAGAGAGCCATTATACAGTGCAAAGAGGATCAAGGTATTTTACATGCCATTTGCTCCATAGGCCGGCCATCACGCGTTTTGTTCAAGAGCACTTCTCGAGCACGCGACGCGGATTGCGTAGTAGTCTGGCTTTCCAGCGCCCATCTAGCTTCGCTATCACTGATGAAGCTACGTGCCATCACCGCGCGTACAATTTATGCTGTTGTGTGAACGCTATTATACTGGCTAGATGGTACCCGCCCTGGATGTACAGTGAGGCGGTGTAGATAGGTTCACGTCGTCCGTACTTCAGGATCTTCGCCAGTAGACGACAACTCCAGGTCCTTTGCCAGTAGACGACAGCTTCAGAGCTTTTAGTCGATTTGCTACAGACGCGATTGTGGGGTTGATGTAAGGGACATTCTCGAAACCGCGATTGATGGTCATATCCTTGACCACCGAGTCATCCTGTGTGACAGCGATAGTAGAATCCAGTCAAGGGATCTTATCCCCTGCATTTATTTTGACGTCCACGATAGCAGATACATATCAATGCGAAAGAAAGGAGTCGCGGCTGTTTTCTTCTATAGATAGGGAGCGTTGTTGGCGACTCGCGCATCCGCAAATGGGGGGAGGGTCCTACTTCGGAACGAAGTATGTCGACATTCTACCAGGGTTTAATCTGCTTTACGAGCTCATACACCAGTCAAGGACCCTAGAACTGCTCTGTCGCACATGGCCAGCTTTAGTACGCCACCACCTGATTGAGAGACTGCAACGATAACGACAAGCTTGAGCTGTAGACGAGATCTGGCACCTTCGTGGTCACGAGAAGTCGTAGCGTTGCAAGATAGCGGTTATGTCGGATACTGTGAGTATCTGAAGAAAACATTCGAGAGTCTTGGCGAGCAAGTGATATTGGTACCCGATAGCAAACAACTACGTGCTCAGGACGTCTTCGCTGTTGCACGTTTCCATGGATGATGAGCAAATCCTGCTTTCCCAAATTTGGGACGGCGATGGGACACATCACTACCATCGGTCGAGAATTCAAAGTGAAGCGCATTCTGCATCCAAGTAGAATGTACTGAGACTCAAGTGATTCAGAACCTTGTAGAGGGTTCAAGTACCACGGAGCGCTTGCGGCATTTAGCATTCTTCGTTGTAACTAGAGTGTAGCGAAGCTAGCAAAGCCTTCGCGGTAGGAGGAATCGCAAATACGCTATAGAAAGTCTAAACGGACTCCGTGTGACAAATAATAACATCGTGCGCACGCGTCAAGAAGCAAATGGCACGAGAAACCAAAGCACCTCTCTCAGGGCCAGCCCGATCGACCGACCGACAATTTCCAATCCGGTGTCTGTTCGAGGTAAGGTAAAAGCCAATCGGGTCCATGGTGCGAGACGTCAGTGCATTGGGTTGTCAGTCGCCTCCCGATAGTGATGACCAGAAATATGTATCAATACGTCTTGAGCGAGTCATGTACAGCTATCTCTGCTGCCATCGAACTGTAGAATGCCCTATTTGTGCCTTAAATCATATCGATACCAATGTAGTCACGCAATGGTATTCATATTACTTGAGTTTAGTTAAGGGCACTTGGCGGTCGATTCTTCTTGATACAAAGGTATACCTGACGCTGTCGATATCAACCAGATTAAAATCGATGCAGATTTGTTAATACCCACTGATCGACGAAGTCGATCAAACGTCCAATGTCTGTGTATACTTGTAAACTGCATTTGTTACTGCTGTTGCGACTCACGCGTTGGAAGCAGGCGTTTCAGATCACGACATTCGACGCCATCGCTTGTGGACACGAGGCTTACAGCAAATATTAGTACAATGGCTTACAAGCCATTATGGATGGTGTGCGTGGAGTCCAGCATTTGTGCTTCGGCTGGCCCCAATCGAAAAACTTATGGCATTCAAGTCGTTGTATCTATCGCTACCTTCTAGTGCAACGTGGCTAGACACATCTGGACGCCAACAGCGTCGTTGTCTGTAGTTACCGGAGGAACACAACTCCAGGCAAACTGCTGGACTCTATCGGGCAAACGCATCTATTCCTAAAGCGAGAAGACGTGACCTGAAGATATGGAGATCCGAAGTCGAGTACAGGAGCTCCGACAGCGGAAATAAGTAGTCTCGGTCTGCATAAATAAATGCCCGTGAGTGCACGGCTTCAGACAGGAAATAAAAAGGGTTTCAAGCTCGCGTATGTACTGACGCAGCCAGCTCCGCGCTTCCAACTCTGCGCTATAATGAAAGGACATCGTCCAACAGTTTCTATAATACCACCTGAGTTGCCGCAAGGGGTCGAAGCAGTCAGCGGCCGATTAGTGTCCAAGAAATTGTCCATTCCTTTTTCAAGATGTGTACGCACTCGTATACGGCACCGCATCTGAAGGCGGGATCTGACGGTATCAAAGTTTATGTCTCCTATCATGTGTCGCATACAGGATAAGACGCGAAACTGCGATTAAGACGAAATGGGAACACAGCGCACCCTATTTGCCATGCGCTGTGTAAATTTGCGGCGGGACAGATTGCAAACTTTGTTCCAGAGTTTTCCGAGTCCATCCATCGATTGATTATACAGGGTGCTGACAAGCTGTCGTGATGGATCACCTCGTGTGTTGCTGATATCGTGGCGACGGTCACCAGGAATCGAAGCTACGATGGTAGACAACCAGAAACGTCATCAAGAGCCTTTGGTACGGACAATACCCTTAGCATTGATCAACAGCTTCCGCTTTACAAGCGCGAGCGGGTATCACTTGGTACCAAAGCAGAGGATGACGAGGTCGAAAGAAGTAAAGTAAAGCATTCGACATCGGAAGATAGAAGATGATCAGACCTTGCGCAAGCACTTGGTAGTGACAGAGCATGAAGAAGTATCATAGAAGCTACACGCCGCCGAAACGAGTACCGGTCGTCATATTCGTTTGATATGGTAGCGTTGTGAGCATCTCCGATGCTCTCCTTGGTAAGCATAGGTCATGGCCTAAAAAGAGGACGCAACGCGCTGAAGGTGCAGATCAGACAGTTGCGCAAAATCAAGTGGTACATCATCCGACTCGTGACAAATTGTAGCATGTCTTCGTAGTTCTCACTCCCGTAGCTATACAGAACCAGCGGCAGCCGTGGACCACGTGTAGAAGTTGTGCGTGTTCATCGACGTACATCACCTCTAATATAGCTTCATCCGCCGCCTTTGAAAGCATCGATCAAGTCAAGATGCCGTCGATGTTGCACTCATCTGCCTTTATGCTGTCAGCTACAGCTTTAGACGACTTTCTTGTGGCTGCGTACAGAAACACCCAGGACAAGAACTGCAGAAAGGATTCGAACGATCATTGTACAAAAAGCACATATGCAGACTGAGCTTGTTCAGCGTGGATCGGGTCAACGTGAAGTGATCAAGTATCTATCTGCCGAATGCTCGCGAGAACGGGTCATACAACGGTTGTTTGTGTGAGATATGTCAGTAATCTCCTTACAGTCTGGTCCACAACTTCTTAAAATCACTCAGTCCGATTCGACTTATCACCGCGACCATCTGCGACTTCATGTCTTTTGTCTATCTTTAAACTGCGCTTTTGCAATGCGTGATTGTGGCCGCTATGGCTGTTCAGAATTACTGGTGCGCAAAAACCGCCCGCTACTACTTCCTCTGACATGCTCGGATTCTTCTTAGCGCTCTTTGATTAATCGATGTGTCCTGTTGTACGAGATGACATAAACGTTAAGAAGAACGATGGCGGTTTTATCATAAAACTTGCTTCACCAGAAGGCAAGGCTTGCATCCCAAGATATGGCTCAGAAGTCCGATGAGTCAAGCTTTGTTCACTTCATCAATTGCCGTAATTCTTCTGTAGCGTCTTGGTCACAGTCGGCGTAGCTCACATGATCATCGGTCGTGTAAAACAAAGCTACGCCACTTCGTCCTCGCGCGTTTGGACGTATCACGACGTTTTTAGGTGAGGACTTTTGCGACATTCTCCCTACCATCTGTGGCACACTGATTGCTAGCAGTCCCGGCCGGTGACTCGCCATTGTCGTTTTGTCCAAACCTTTCAGCGAGTCGTCACATGTGAAGTGTCATAGCTATCGCTAGGTTTTTATGCATGTTGCTTACATTTACAGACCATTCTGTCGTTTTCCTTTATCGTTTGAAAGCACTGAACGAGCTTTTCGTGTTACTCATTGTCGCATCATCGTCTTTCACGCTACCACGAATGATCAAACGAATGAGCCTCGACGTTTGCCAAGCATAGTAGATCGTGGTATAAAAGCTTGCGTTCATACCGATGCCAGAAACTACTACCACGGGCACTTGGACGCCAGAGAGATTCAGCGCTACGCTACCTTGTATCTCATATGGCAAGCGAACATCCCACACAACTTTCTCCCTCTTATGGTATCAAGCGTGTGCTGATGTCCACAAGTTTCGCATCATTGTCATGTCGATGTCGTTTTAGTGCGAGATCGTCCATTTGACACTCGATCGAATGCCATGGGATTCCACTTAGGCACACCCGATCTCGGGGCACCACTCGGACAATTCTTACCGACCCGTTTTTCTTTGCAAATTGGAAACTTGCTCATACGTGCTGCGTGTATCTTGCTCTACTCTTATCGAGAGCATCAGTGATGGCACATCGAGCTTCCTTTTTCCTCTGCTCGCAAAGACTCGTTGTCATTCTCGACGAGCTCTGGTGTGCTGTGTGCCATGACGAGATGCACGAGCTACGTGGAAAGCATCCACTCCAACGTGCCGAAGCTTTAAACCCTGCATCAAATACACCTTAAGTATTTGCATACTAATGTATCTCTCGTTTGTCCGACACGTATTCCTTTGCGATCGACAACGCGATAAAGTCATGATTGTCGTCTTACAGATCTGAAGTGCGAATTTGTGCTCCAGCGGTATACAACTCCTGTATGGCAGCACACCTGCTGGTATCGCCCTGACATCAACACGTCAATTCGTAGCAGAATTCGTCTGTGCAAAAAGTTGCACCGCACCTTTCGACATACGACACTATGTTGGCAAAGAAACGCCACCGCGGCATCGTAGGGCTTGCTGTTGCAGATCTGGCCAAATGCGCATATTCTGGCACACCGCCGACGCAAACTCATGCCAGTGATTAACTCTTCGGTTTCGACATCATACATGATTGCGACAAGTTTCCTGTCGTTCAGTACGTTCACCCAGCATAAGATCCCCCAGTACGTACAGCACTTAGCATGAATCGTACGAATGGACTCGTGCACCATAGAGCTTCAGATATTCGACGTCAACCGGTGCTGTACAATGAGGGATCAATCCGCGACAACTTATTTGAGGTAGCGCACTGCGACTCCAAGAAAACGTGGTCGAGTGAGTAATTGTAGCTTCCTAGGCAATCGTAGACGTTTTGATTTGCTAGTGTCGGTGAAAGATGCAAATTCGAATAGGTATAAGCGTTTGAATGTACAAGCATGTCGTATCAATTGAACGAGCCCATGATGTCATGAAGACATCGTGCAGTATGTTGAGAACATGATAGGGTCCAGGAGAAATCGAGATGAAATCCGGTTCAGCTGTTTATCCAGTCTTCCTTATCGCGCCTGAAGTCCCGTGACGCCTTCATCGTCACCAACACCTTGCAAAGTGCATATATCCTCTAGTTTTATCTAAACTCTCCTTCGAAACACAGCATAAGCCACGATGTTATGACACTCTCCTCCTGTTAATCATGATTCCATCCGTTTACAGAAACTCCAGAAATTTTATAAATTATCGCTCTTTCGTGATCCGTTCCCACCACCCAAACCACACGATACCAGTCATCCTGTCCAACTTAACATTCCAAACTCGACATTCCGGATGACAACTCACGTAGCTGCTGTCCGCGCACTCTTTCGATCGCGTCTGTCCACGTCTCTGCGCGCATCTCCACTCCTGACCAATGGAATACCTCCACAGCAGCAATGGCTTCACTCGTCATGCTTCGTACAGCCTCCTCCGCTCCTGTCCGCGTGCGTCAACCTGGGCTCTGTACGCTCCAAAACCAGTGAACGCGCACTGCGCCGCAAGAACTTGCGCAAGATGAAGAGCCAGAAGGGCGGCAAAGTGCCGATGCTGAAGGAGACGCTGCGGAAGCTGTACATGCGCACGCACCCGGATCTGTTTGGACGGTACCCGGAGCAGCAGCGGGCAAACGAGGAGTCGTATAAGGAGCTGCTGGGCATTTTGGATGCCATTGAGAAACACAATGAGTTTCCTCCTGCCAAGACGTTGAGACTGCCGTTCTTCTTGAAGACGTCAGTGGACGGGGAGTTCAAGGAGGTGGATCTGCAGCTGCGCACGACTGGCGGGGCTTGCAACACGCTGGTAGAAGAAGCTTTGGGTCGGTTTTTTGGCGAGTGTGGTCTCCCACAGGCGTTTCAGTGGGGAGAAGGCAGCTGGGGCAAGGCTGTTGGTAAAGGTGCGGTCGAGAACTCGAATCTGGGCTTTGACAAGGAGGAAGAGACTCGCAAGAAGGCCAGCGAGGAGGTGGAGGATGTAGGTCCGCAGTCGAATCCAGCCGTTGATATGGATGATAGTGGAGTAACTATGGAGGATGCCCCGATTGAAATGGTGCTGAGTGAACTCAATGAAGTTTTCGAGATGATTGCTGCAGTGCCGCTGTTGGATGAGAACGAGTATGGAGAGCTACGGGATCACTTCGAAAACGGCAAGGGTCTTATTGAGATTGATGAACGGGGTTACACAATTAAGGCAGGCACGCACAAGATTTGGAAGGGCGAGCGCGATCTCCAGAAGATAACTGCTGGTGTTGATACTAATTCAGCTTTAATTCTGCAGCGGATCCTGTTGCATACGCTCGATATTGAGACGAAAGTGCGCAAAATGCTTGCGAATGGCGGAGTCGATGTTGATGAGGAGGAGCACGAACCAGAAGAGAGTAGCAAGGGCCTCTAGAAGTTTATGTGACACAGTATAGGTCACATACTGTGGATTCTCCTGTGCTCGACGCTCATATGTATAAGTCTGGCTCCAGCGCAGCAGACAAAAATGACTCAAACGGTGTTGATCCTTTGATGAAAGCAAGAACACGCCTGGCATCCCACGACCACGACTTCAAGTACATTGACTCACACTTGATGAAGCCTGAGCAAGCTGCTGTAGCACGATGCAACCGACACAGACGTTGACGTAATCGTAACAGTACGGGTGCTTGAAGACCACATGGACCTGCGTATCTGGATGACGGAGCGTCTCCGTACTGGCGGCTCGTTCCGAACCACAGCATAGAGCTGCCGTAGATCGCCACTTTTTACCAGATTTCCCCACAGTTTTGGTAATAGAAGCATGTTGCGAATCTTTATTTGAAATGATGTCGTTCAGTGCGTGCAACACCTTGTACAATACTTGATCAGTAACCGCCCCTTTCTTGAACGTGCTCAATGTGAGTTTGCACATAGGAGTATCACAATAAATGGGTGTGCGTGCTTGTCTGGCATTCCACTACGCCGAGAAGAAAATCTATAAAGTAGTGGCCAAGACTAGACGAGTACTAAGCTGTCAAAGCCATCAGGTATGTCTGAGATGTCAGATATGCTAGACACTCGCCAGTCATGAATTAAAAGTCGCTACAAGAATATTGAGACAGGGTTGCAAGAACGCGCCATGCGCCATATAGTCATTTAATGTTCTAACATTGCTGTCCAATGGTCTTTCCTACGGAAAGCCCGATGAACAATCAGCACGATGAATGCATTTAACTACGGGGATGGATTCGCCACTGCACCGTGCCGAGTGTTGTCATTTTTTTTACCGAGCATTATACCACGACCAGCTTGAGAAAAACGTCTTCTCCGATGTGTGTACATTTACTGAGTATTACCCGGCTCTGTTAATTTAATAAATCCGCCCATAAAATTAGAGATGCTTCAGTGGCGTGGCAGGCGATAAACGGGATCTGATGGAGGATGTACGATCGAATACGCATACACCCTCACACATTTCTAAAGACTGGCTTAAAGCTGCAGAAAGACGACACGATAAAGCGAATTTACTACTTACTACCACGCATTGCTCAAATCAGGTTTAATGACAGCAAAAAGATAGGATAGTACTACGTTGCAGCATCCGAAGGCGGAGCGCAGTACCTCGTTTTGTTTTGTGGTAAACTGCAATGTTCACGTGTACAATTGCAACGTACGAGTCGAAACCTCGTCACGCATCTCGCTTGTACGTATGCGTACAGCAAAGAATATTGCATCGAAGACGAGCTGTGTATCAGCCACGGCGTTTGCTGAATATTGTTTTCATCTCTGTTTGTGAACTCCAGCTCGTGCGTTTTTCCAATTGAATGATTACGTGCATGTTCAATCTGTAGTTCGTGATTGCATTGTGTTGCCAGTACTGCACTTTAACCACTGGACGCTATGCGTGCTGACGAGTCGTATCCATACGGGGCAATCACGTGCAAGATTTGCACGATGACTTTGTAGTTTCTGTGGAGTTAGCGCAGCTTGCCGTCATACCAACGACGGCCACATTGGGATTGAGACAATCAACGCTTAGGTGACTTCGCATCGATCTTACTTTGTCTTTTGCAGCAAAAGTGAGTTGGGTCAGGACGGGGCATCAAGCGGGCGAGGTACTTCTTCACGAATGCTTTTTGTTTGTGGCAGTGCATGTCTGCCCTAGAAATGGCAGTCAAGCAAGCGACAGAAACTCAAAGCGCCTGATGTTGCAACACACCACCTTTCAAGCGCTGCATGCAAATGAACATTGACTTACTTGAAGACCTCCTAGCTAGCTTCGCTGACCAGCAGCGTTCTCGTCCTCCACAACGTCTTCATTTGCAATGATCTCGTTCAACTGCTTTTCGATTTCGAGCGTGTGCATAAAGATCCGTTGCAAAATAATCGCTGAGTCGGCATCCATACCCTCAATCAACGTATCCAGATCCCGTTCACCCTGCCACATCTTAAGCACACCTTTCTTTGTCGTAAAGCCCTGCGAGTCGAGGTCATCCAAGCCCGATCCCTGCTCGAAGTGCACTTTAATAGCACGTTGCTGCTCATCTTCATCATCCAGGTAAGGCATCGCTGCGATGAGCTGGAGCGTATCGTCGACTTCGTTCAGCATCTTTTCGATCGAATGGTCGGGAACGCTACTACCCGAATTGTTAAAAGTCGATTCCGGCTGTTGACCTACATCCTCCACCTCCTCGCTGGCCTCCTTGCGAGTCTCTTCCTCCTTATCAAAGCCCAGATTCGAGTTCTCGACCGCACCTTTACCAACAGCCTTGCCCCAGCTGCCTTCTCCCCACTGAAACGCCTGTGGGAGACCACACTCGCCAAAAAACCGACCCAAAGCTTCTTCTACCAGCGTGTTGCAAGCCCCGCCAGTCGTGCGCAGCTGCAGATCCACCTCCTTGAACTCCCCGTCCACTGACGTCTTCAAGAAGAACGGCAGTCTCAACGTCTTGGCAGGAGGAAACTCATTGTGTTTCTCAATGGCATCCAAAATGCCCAGCAGCTCCTTATACGACTCCTCGTTTGCCCGCTGCTGCTCCGGGTACCGTCCAAACAGATCCGGGTGCGTGCGCATGTACAGCTTCCGCAGCGTCTCCTTCAGCATCGGCACTTTGCCGCCCTTCTGGCTCTTCATCTTGCGCAAGTTCTTGCGGCGCAGTGCGCGTTCACTGGTTTTGGAGCGTACAGAGCCCAGGTTGACGCACGCAGACAGGAGCGGAGGAGGCTGTACGAAGCATGACGAGTGACGCCATCGCTGCTGTGGAGGTATTCCATTGGTCAGGAGTGGAGATGCGCGCAGAGACGTGGACAGACGCGATCGAAAGAGTGCGCGGACAGCAGCTACGGGAGTTGTCATCCGGAATGTCGTGGCTGGAAACGGATGGCGCAGGTGGAACGTACCTAATCGGACGTGTGCGGGACGCACATGCGTACCTAACGATCTCACACTGAGTCGAAGAGGCGTTACAGGTTAAAAGACACACTGGGCCTGGGCGTCTGTTTTTCCTCTTGCATAATGAAGACAGACGCCTGACTTCCTGCGAAAAGCCTTTACAGAATCCGACAAGTGCGATTGTTGTACTCCAGTTGCATTTTATTGCGTGTTCCTTATCGAGTGTCCAAAATATTCACAGTTTAGCGTTCTTTCCCAACAAATCCGCACGATTGAAAACTAACGACGATCCAGACGTGAAAAGTGTCGCTATCGACTGAAAAAAAGCCTGCATTACCACACGAAATGTGTCCCACAGCCAGCCAGACAAAGCTCGTTGTTCATCGAACAGTCACTTCGACAGTATTATAAACTAGAGCTACTAAACTCCTACCACACCGTCTACCACTGTACGACGATACACTCGTTTCCAACAGCCGGGCGGGCGTTCCAATCCACAACAACACATAGCATTCAGTCTCCAAACCTCCCACTCGATCGAAGACCCGAGCGAACGTCTCGCTGTCTGCGCTCATGCCCCCACCCGAATCTTCGTCTCCATCCCCCACCCACGTGCACAACAATTCCAACGTCATTGCTGGAGATGCAAAAGAGGTGTCCGTCTCCTCCTCTTTATCAAACGCTTCAATTGGATGGCAGCTAGACGTGCGGTCCGTAAGCGTGATCTTCCTGGTAAGCACGACGCTACTAGGCCTGACGCTGCACTCTCTCGTACTCTCTGCACTGCTCGACTCCGAGTGGGAAGCGCTGCAATTGCCCACGTCGCTAGGGGCGGCCCAAGCACTAGGCCAGACGTTGCAGAGCTTCTCCGAGCGCCAACGAGGGGCGCTCGTACTCGCCCATATGACGTCGTACCTCTACCTGCAGACCTTTGCCATTCCTGGCACGGTCTTTCTGAACCTCTTAGGTGGTGCCTTGTTCGGTGTCGCGCTGGGCTTTCCGCTCTGTTTGGCGTGCAACACACTGGGCTCCGTGCTGATGTTCCTGCTGTCGCGCCGCTTCGGGCGCCGCGTTGTCATGCGCTTCTTCCCGTGCAAACTTGACGTGCTGCGTGGGATGCTGGAGGCGCACCGGGACGACATGGCGCTCTACATGGTCTTCCTGCGCGTGTTTCCGTTCACGCCCAATTGGTTTATTAACCTCGCGTCGCCGCATTTGGCCATTCCGCTCCGCCAGTTTATGCTGGGCCCGCTCTTTGGACTCATCCCGTACAACTTTCTGAGCTGCAAGGCCGGTCTGATCTTGCGGGAGTTGCGATCGCGCACCGACATCATCGATACGGCCACGACGGTGCAGCTTGTGGTGGTGGCAACCGTGGGTGGCCTTGTGCTACCTAGGTTGAAGAAACGCTTTGCCACGAAATCAGATGCTGCAACAACTTTGGCGCCAGTAAAGCAAGAGTAGGTGGCTGAATGACCATTGGATTGGTTCAATTGGTACTAGCTACTCTCTTGCTCAAGAGGTGAGCGCCTTGGTAGCGTACCCGCTCACGTCTCTACTACAAGCGCGTTGTCTGAAGACAAGTTTGTTATACAGTTGGCAGCTGCCCAGACGACAAGAAAACTAACGAGCCGTCTGGAAAACCTCGTGCGATCTGTGCGGTTTTGATTGAGGTCCAGAAGCACTTCATTGATATGCAGCTACAAGCAGATCAGCAGATACAAGGCCACAAGTACGGGACATTTTCTAGCGGTCCTAGTTTGGCGTTTGGAGCGTGCATTGCGTAACACGAGACTACGCGGTTCGCAATACGAATACATGTTGACGCTAATCCATCGATTGAGGAACTTGACAATGCGAGACTTTTGTTCGTGTCAACTGACACTTACTCTTTGTGTGGACGAAGTGTTCCAGACTCGAGTAGGGCACACTGCATGGCTGGCACTAAACGTTTTTTACTCTTGGGTTTTACTTGTTTTTATTTGGTTTTTTATTTGGTTTTTATTTAAGCAACCCGACAGCCTCCGGGCTTCCAGAATCACGTTATAGTCGGCTTTTTTGCCCGATAAGTGCGTGACTCACTCACGACCGGGCCGACCGTGTAAGGGGGTGAACCGTTACATAACAATTTATAAGAAATTGTTAATAGAATGCAACTATAAGAGTTATATTCTCAGAATATTGTCATAAGGACAATATTCTGCAGCTTTTACGAGTAGTTCCTAATTGGTTGATATAGGCCATTATATCAACCAACGAAGACGCGCCACGACAGACGCACGCAACGAGTGGTGAGCAGATAGTTTATCTACACATTTGTATTTAGACATAGTTAGATGAGGATGAACAGTGGTTTATTAACAGACATTAACTATTATAAATACAGTTCTACTTTTTACTTAAACTAAGTACTCGCTTCTTCTTACCGTCTTCCTCTGCACGTACCAGTGTACGTGAAATTACGAGGCACCGTCTTATTCTGTCGTCAGAACAAGTAGCTTGTACTGTCACCAGTACAAGCCTGAGGGTGCCCCGGTACACCTGGTAGCACTATGTAGTCCGTCCAAGGACCACGTTCACATCTTACATGAACATGTTAGATTATGAAGATGACCAAAGCTTTCACGCTACGCGTGACGGCTACTCCCATTTGAGCAATGTCGAATGGGATGCGGTTGAACGGATGGATTCAACCATGGGCATCCATGCTGTTAGCGTCATGCTAGAGGCTCTCAATAGAGATGCCCAACATGCTACTGTCGCCAAGTTCATTCAAAATGAACTTGACGCTGAACGCAAGAAAGTAGCCTTGCTTCACCAACAAGTTTCTCAACAAGCAGAGTTGTTGAGAGAACAGGGTGCTCAACAGTTTGAGCTGTTGAGACAGCAGCAGGCTGGTGCTGGTGGGTCGATGCACTCGCGTCGACCCGAGACCTTGAAGATTGACATCTCCAAGTATAGGGGAGTCGAAGGGGACTCCCTCTTGAGATGGTTCGTCGAATAAGGCGACGCCATAAGGGCGCGTCGCATCGACGACGGGGATATGCAAGTTGCATTTGCCCAGTCAAATCTGGCAGGACGTGCCAAGACTTGGGCACTGGGGCTCAAGTTGCACGACCCATATGCGTTTGGGTCGTTGGAAGTCTTCAAGTCGCGGCTCAGACAAACGTTTGAACCGCCTAGAGCTGAGTTCAGAGCTCGAACCGAACTCTTGAAGCTCAAGCAGGGTAAGCGTGATGTACACGCTTACGCTCAACATATACGACATCTCACGAGTTGTATAAGTTCCAATCCGGTGGATGAACACACGTTGGTTTCGGTGTTCATGCAGGGTCTTGCGGATGGTCCCGTCATGACTCACCTGTTCCGGCTTGAACTAGATTCACTAGAACAAGCCATTTCCATTGCGGAGCAGGAAGACTTCAGTCTGAGACAGGCTCGCGCCAGCTCGACATCATATCGTCAACCGAGACGATATGACAGCAGAGGTCCAGAGCCGATGGAACTCTGTTATGTAGAGAGCGAGAAGGCTCTCTCTACAGACTACAAGAAGTTTCAGAAATGCAACAGATGTCAAAAGACAGGACACTACGCTTACGAGTGTAGTGCCCCTCGTCCAGTGTCTCGCGACACTGGGCGTAGTGACCGTCCACCCATGAGAAAGGGGCAGGGACGAGGGTCCGCTGTTGGTGCAAAGACGCAACAACGGGATGGACCGTCAAAAAACGGACAGGATCAGTAGGTGCGGAGCACCCTACTTGTCCAGCAACGTCAAGAGAATTTGTAGGCCTCTTGATGAAGGTTGCTCCCAACACACAAACATTGTGCGTTGCTGCTGTAGGTAATGAGATCTCACTCATTACATTGAAACTCGAAGTGACAAATAAGTTGTCCCTTTGAGCTCTAGTCGATTGTGGGGCGTCCAACAATTTTGTGCGACGCCAATCGCTAGAAGATGGTCACTTCAAGTTTGTAGAGTGTGACACACCTCCTACGAGGATGACGGCACGTCTTGCGACAGGCGCATCCGTAACCTTCATAAAGCGTATAGTGAAGATTTACTATACGCTAGAAGATACCCAATATGACGATGACTTCATCGTATTGGATTTGGATGACAAATTTGATGTCATCCTTGGAATACCGTGGCTCAGAAGGTACGAACCACGGGTTAACTGGCAACATCGAACAGTAACAATGCCTGCCGCTTGTTCATCAGATGGCCATCTGATGAACGTTTTGGAGCGTCCACAAGCGTGTGGATGTACTACGAGTGAGTGCGATGGCCTCACTTGTGGTACGGTCGTTAGTACGACTGCACAAATCCTTAGTGTACCAAACGGTTACACTTCGGAGCAAAGTTCCGGCGGCTGTGAGGAAACACAGGCTGCGCCGAAGGTCCACCACTCGAATAAGTCGGGTGGACTGGGACAAAGATGTATCCCTAGAGGGGAACATCTAGAAGAGAAACAATCGATCGCTCAGGTTAAGCGAAACGATAATCCTAGATCGACTGGAGAGTCTTTCGTAGAGGATCTCGCTGTGGTTGCGCAACCCCAGCTAGAGGAAGTAAAGGGAATAAGTCCCAAGATTACAAATACGGCGGAAATAAGTTCCCCGAAACCCGCGGGAATAAGTCCCCGGGAAGACGAAGGAATAAGTCCTTCGAAGCCTGAGGGAATAAGTCCCCAGGAAATGACAGAGACATTGAATGTCCTAGTCAATAACGGATCAAGTGTAGGCGCTTATGCACTTGATCTGATTGCGCCTCCGAAGTTAACTTCGGAGATCACTCAGTTGCCAACGCTCGAACATAAAAGGTTCTTGCGTTGTCTTCGTAGTGGCAAAGTCAAGCAGATCTGCGTACTCGTCGCTGACGACGAGTGTGTAGCCGACATAAGGTCAGCAACAATGTTTACTGAGAACGAGAGAGTTCTCAGTAGTTCATCGATGGACGAGAGCGTCCTCGATAAAAAGACACGAGTTGAGCAATATGGCTCCCAATCGTGGGAATCGCTCAAGAAAAATCCTCTTTATAAAGATTTGGTTGAACTCAAGGATGTATTCCCTGAAACTGTTCCGTGCGAATGACCGAAGGATAAAGGTGTTCGACACGAGGTCGAGCTTAAACCAGGCTCGAAGTACTGTGTCATGAAGCAGTGGCCACTGCCTCGTGAACAAGTACTTGCGATAGACAAGATCTTTGCCGATCGCTTAGCTGCGGGTCATGTGAGGGAACCAACTTCCCCACATAGCTCTCCGACCTTCTGTGTGTGAAAAGCAACAGGACGGTGGCGGATAGTGCATGCATTTAACAAATTGAACGCTGCAACGGTACCGGCTCAGACGTCGATACCAAGGAAGGACGTAATCATTGATGGTATGTCAAAGAGTATCATCTTTTCGTCCATGGATTTGATGGATGGCTTCTATCAAATCCTTCTGCGAGAACGGGATATACCCTATACCGCAGTTAGCGCGCCTAGCGGCATGCTCTGGGAATGGCTAGTAATGCCACAAGGGCTTAGTAATGCCCCTGCCACGTTCAACACATGTGTATCACATCTGTTGAGGCCGGTACGAGAATTCGCGCCGAGTTATTTCGATGACGTATTCATCCATAGTCGAGCTATGGATGGAAAGTCGGACGTTGAGGTTCACAAGTACCACGTCCGACAGGTTCTTACAATCATGCGAAAGCATCAATCGTATGCAAACCTCAAGAAGTGTATATTTGCAGCAAGCGAAATACCACTTCTTGGGTGCATCGTTGGTAAGAACGGTGTACGTCCTGATCCCGAAAAGATCAAGGCGATCACCGACTGGCCCGTGCCGGTCGATGTCAAAGGTCTTCGAAAATTCCTTGGGCTAGCGGCGTATTTGCATAAGTATTCACGCAATTACGCCGAGATGACTGTACACCTCTCTCGTTTGTTGAAAAAGAACGAGAGGTGGTTATGGAACGCTGAATGTCAGCGCTCCTTTGATGGTATCAAGCAGAGCTTGATACAATCCCCAGTCCTAGCAATAGCCGATCAGGACAGGCCATTTCATGTGGTCTGTGATGCCAGCGATTTCGCAATCGGCTGTGCATTAATGCAGTACGACCTTGAAGGCGTTGAACGCGTCGTCTGCTATCAGTCGCGTCAGCTGCAACCAGCTGAGCGGAACTATCCAGTGCATGACAAGGAACTCCTTGCCATGAAGTATGCACTCGCGAAGTTCAGAGTCTATCTATTAGGAGATAGACCCTTCGTTGTTTACACTGACCATGCGTCCTTACGCACGGCAGTGAACAGACCGCACCTTTCACAACGAATGGCGCGGTGGTTGTCATTCTTTGCAGAATACAACTTTACGGTAGGGTACAAACCAGGACGACTTAATGTCGTCGCTGATGCACTCTCACGTCGTCCCGACTTTGAACCAGTCGTGAAACTTAACAGTGGTACGGCCACTGTTGCGGTTATGACGTCCACAATACCATCTTCAACGTTACATGATGATGTGAGGCGGGCGTATGCCCAAGATGGTGAGATTGTGAAGTTGTTGAAACATCTCTCACAGCCATTTCAAGAATCGTTGAAACGATTATCGTCTGCGTATCGATCTGCATCAGATCGATACACTACTCGCAACGGTTTACTGTATTACACAGCCGTTACTGGTGATACACCACGTGTTGTCATCCCAGATGATACTGATCTGCGTTTGCGGATCATGTTCGAGTATCACGATGCTCCTATAGGAGGACATCGTGGCCGGGAGAAATCATATCTCACGGTGAGTCGAGACTTTTACTGGCCCCGCCAGTATCAGTTTGTGCGAAAGTGTGTTCACGCATACGAGGTCTGTCAACGAGTGAAGTCAAGTCCTTCACTGCGTGCACCATTACAGCCTCTACCGGTTCTGGCAGAGTGCTGGGAATCCATCTCAGTGGATTTCGTCTTCGGGTTAACCAAATACGCACGCGGGAATACGGGTATTCTCGTATTTGTTGACAGATTAAGCAAAATGGTACACCTTGTGGCTGTACCAGAGACAATCACGGCAAGTGGCTGTGCTTGTGTCTTTATCAACACTATCTTCCGACTTCAAGGGTTGTCCCGTGAACTCGCATTAGACAGAGACCCCCGCTTCATAGCAGAATTCTGGCAATCCGTGTTCAAATCACTCGGAACGCACTTGAAGATGTCGACATCTGATCATCCAGAGTCAGATGGTCAGACGGAACGTGCCAATCGTGTCCTTGAAGAGATACTTCGAGGATACGTACACTCCTTTAAGAGTTGGAGTGAGTTCTTGCCAATGGTAGAGTTTGCCATTAACAACTCGGTGCATGCGTCCACGACACATACACCGTTTTACGTGAATGGCTTGCGCCATCCGCGTGTACCCACCTTACTAGAGTGTAGCTCTGGTTTAAGGGAGGGAGGAACTCGCGCGAGCAAAAACCGAATTGGTTCACGCTCATCACGCTCTGACGAAGAGGTCATTGCGTTTGATGCCGATATCGACAACATCGATATCGAAGAAGATGATGCCAGTGAGAGCGAGGAAGCCCTCACTGAAGAAGAGATTGATGTCGCTGCAGTGCACTCACAGCGCACCGAAGCTAACGAGTCAGCAGATGAGTTCATACTGGCTCGTGGAACGGTAGTCCGTTTTGTTCAATACTCCATCGCCGAAGAGGTGGATAAGCAAAAGCAAAACGCAGACAAGAATGGAAGGGCAAACACTCTTTGATTTAATTAAGGTGACTTAGTCCTACTGTCTGCGGTAACCTACCAAAGCATGTAGTGACTAACTTGGGTAGCAGTAAACTACTACCCAAGTACATTGTCCCATTTCGTGTACTGCATCGCCTAGGCAACGCATACACGATCGAATTGCCACGTAAGATGCGAACGCATCCCACGTTTTACGTTGGTCGGCTTAAGCCGTACCATCAGTACGCTGTTTCTTCCGATGAAGAACGCCCTTGCGCTCAAGAATCTCACAGAGGGCTTTGTGCTCCCGATGGTGGATATCAACTAGGGTCGGAAGAGCAGTTATCTCAGCCCGAGACCGATCAATATCCACACGAGCTACCCTTACCTCGTCACGCAGAGATGTCAAAGCTCTCTCGTTCTCAAGCTGAGCAAAAGCAAACTCAGCTCGATGCTTCAAGACAGTGTCCACCAGTTGAAGACGCCTGTCCCGCTCATGCTCGAAGTCGCCGCGCAACGCAAGAGTTACGCGATCAAAGAGGCTCTCGGGGACACACGCTCCCCCACGATAGTTTGGAGAGCGTTTTTCCTCCTCCTCCACCTCCATTAGAGGACTCTCGTGGTGGCCAGCGCTATCTGGTTGAGCGGCTGTTGAACCACCGCGATGTGAACGGACGTCGGACGAGTTACCTCGCCTGGTGGCGCGGTTATCCCCCGTCCTGGGATTCTTGGGAGCCCCGCTCCCAACTGAGGATTGACGTACTGGGTCTGGTTGAGCAGTACAACTCGGCACATCCTGTGCCGCAGAAGGACCACCGGAGAAAGTCTTCCCGGCACGGTCGTGAAGGGATTTCAGGTCGTCAATTCCTTCGTACACCTCAGTAGAGATACGTACGCGCCACCACGGGCTAGTAAGGAGGTAAGCCTCCTTAGGTGCGCGCGCAGAGTTTTTTACACAACAAGGGCACAGGTCTCCCCAGGAAAGACAGGGTAACCCACCCTCCTTAGACAGACGATGCAGCTTATAGCGTGCACCTGTCGGGGTTCTTTTCTCAACCTTATCACGAGCTTTGATAAGTTTGGCGTTCCAAACGTCACGACCTACATCCTCAAGGTTATGGATGTAAGCATTCCACGCTTGAAGCAGTGAGGGACCATCACGTTTGTGATACCCACTGTACCAACGATGTTTTAAGAAAGCATCGATGACGAATTCATGCTCACTGTGATAGTCTTTCGCACTGGGGTCAAGGTGATGGATCCTTGACGAATCGAACAATCGTATTCGATAGCGATCACTTGTCGTCGCCGACGAGCGATCCATGAATAACTTTGGAGGCAGCCATGCTTTCTCTTCGGGAGCGAGACGCAACACGCTGCAGTCCCGATCTTCCTGCGACGTGCCGACAGAAGTACTGGCACCTCGTTGCGAAATGGTGTCCATAGGAGAACCGACACCACTGTGAGCGCCCGAGTCTTGCGATCTCGAGCGCCTTCGCTTTGGCTATGGTTCATATGATTTGTCAGGTGAACCAAAGATGCTACGACGCGTGGCATCATCCATGCCACGCTTGGCAGGCGGCTTAAATTAGATCGCCGTCGATACGGATCCGTCATCCGTATCAGGAGAGTATGAGACACCGAGCTCGTACTCTGTGAAGACACGAGTGTCTTCATGACCAGCGCCTGCATCACCAAGTGACACAGGCTGGGTCGCTTCAGCAACCGATGGGGCATCAGTTGCTGTTGTTTCTGCTTCGGCGTCCGCACAGAGACGTGCAGACGCGCTCTCGGCGGCCTTGTTCGCGCATCGCATGGGCTTGTTAACCATGCGATGAAATGTTGGAAAGTGGACGCGGACCAACAAGTGCAAACCCCGTCCCAAATGATTTGGGACGAGTATCCATTTAGTCAATCAGTCACTAAAGTGACTGATGGTTAAGGGGGGGGTGATGTAACGGGGTGAATCGTTACATAACAATTTATAAGAAATTGTTAATAGAATATAACTATAACAGTTATATTCTCAGAATATTGTCATAAGGACAAATATTCTGTAGCACTTTCGAGTAGTCCCTAATTGGTTGATATAGGCCTTTATATCAACCAACGAAGACGCGCCACGACAGACGCACGCAACGAGTGATGAGCAGATAGTTTATCTACACATTTGCATGTAGATATATTAGATGAGGATGAACAGTGGTTTATTAACAGACATTAACTATTATAAATACAGTTCTACTTTTTACTTAAACTAAGTACTCGCTTCTTCTTACCGTCTTCCTCTGCACGTACCAGTGTACGTGAAGTGACAAGGCACCGCCTTATTCTATCGTCAGAATAAGTAGCTTGTACTGTCATCAGTACAAGCTTCAGGGTGCCCCGTTACAGACCGCCGATCCCTGCAGCTGCAAGAACGCCAACATATGTTGTCCTATTGCCAGTGTCGTAGCAAGGTTGGACCATCAAGCCGTACTTACTACTGTGTCGCTATCTGTTAGAAAACTGAGTTAGCTAAGACAGACACGATGCTTTGAAGAAGGCAAGTTGAAAAGTGATTAATCTGGAGTAAAGCTAAAACACAAACTACAGACTCATGCTGCTTTGCATCATTCCCCTGATGGTGTCATCACACGAGTAAATTGCAAATCCAGCACCATTTAAATGCAAACATTGCAAAACCCGCACCAGCTGCATAACCAGTACCACCCCCTGACGTACTTAATGTGTACCACTTTAATCACGGTGATGTGACCGATTCATTTGAGTCTCCACGCGCCAATAATGAAATCGGGGCTTCGTTGTTACCCCCCTACTTTTTTGTTTTCCAGCTCCGACCCCTCAAAAGAGCCTCTGATTGCTGTTGTAACGGGGCACCCTTTGTTTGGGGTGCCCCGAAACTTCACGTACACTAGTACGCACAGAGGAAGCTAAGCTACTTGAACGACTCGATCAAGTAAGGTAAAAAGAGAACTGTTTTTATATAGTTAAGCTATCAATATATCTTTAATCTTTATCTAACTACGTTAAACTACGCCGTCGTATGACGACAATCTGCTCACCACTCATTGCGCGCGTCTAGCAGCGATTGGTGGCAATCTACGGTTGATATGTCTTATATCAACCAATCTTGGAGCAGCGCATGAATATAATTCTACAAGGGGATAATGTTCCTTCAATATTATCCACCTCGGATGATCTCGGTAGAATATTGTCATGCTAGACTATATCCCTATTGACACCGTTTGGTGTCAATTTCATGTAACAGGCTATCCCGTTACATCACCCCCTGACCATAAATCACCCGTTGATTGAGTTAGATTTGATTGGGACAGGGTGAACACCATTGGATCACTCTGGGAAAGGGAGCACTTGTTGGTCAAATTCCATTCATTTGCCAATCCGACGCATGGTTTCCAAAACTTAAGCGAGTTGCTACTGCAGCAGCAAGAATAGAGGCTGCACGCATGCATGCAGCCGGATAGAGTATTTCTTACTCCTCATTAGCAGGCAATTCGTCGTCTGTTGTCGTGAATGCTCCACGTGGTGAGTCACCACGTGCGACAGGTACATCCGTTGCGTCTGCAGCGGGTACCTCAAATCGTAATCCAGACGAGTCTGATATAGAGCTCATCTATTCCGGCAAGTCGGACGACGCATCCGACTCGAAGGCGACTCCTCACGCCACGGGATCACCCGGGGCGGACGCTGCAAAAGTTAGGCTGAATGGCTCTGGTCAGCGCGGCAGCATCATTTCCGAGATCTTTGTATCGAGTGATTACTCCGATGAGCCTCACGCAAGCCCTACCAACGATAGGACGCGTGGATACGGTGGTGATGCACCTATACATCACCACGAGCTAAGTAATTCAAGATATCGGGGTAACACTAGTGCCAGTGCTCATGCTGGCACCAATCAAGAGGCCAGGGACCGAAATGTCCTGCGCCACGCTCCTGAAGTGGAATCTCCGTGGATGCCGCCATCCAGATAGTTGTACCGGTTGGCCGGCATAACTACCGAACGGGATCGAATCCGTTTTTTGATTGCAGGAAGATTTGTCCTCCTGATTCCAGCACGGAAACTATCCGTGCTGAGGAAGAGTTCTTCACCGATGCGTTTTTCAAACATCGGTAGTACAATGGTAGCCGTATACGGGACGGTAAGGCCTTAGTGCAAGGATATAATGCCCTCCCATAATATCGAGTGCATTGACCATTGAACCTGGCTCGGTAAACTTGATTCAGCTCGCATCAGGTTTGAGAAGCGTAACCCAGTCGGTGTACGATACAAGTTGCACCGACTGTCAACAGAGGCAGGATTACTCGGTCTCTCGTGGGGTGATTCGTGTCCAAGTTGCCTGGACAACTCGAACCGTACCCCTAGAGAGACCTACCGTTCTAATTATCCCTACTGGAAGGCGCGCATCTCTTTCGAGATGGCCGAAGGGATCGACACTTTGCGAAACCTGTACTTGCGTTCGGGAGGTCATTGTCCGACGGCCCTCTTCAAACGCAGCGGGTGGGTCTCGTCGTACTGCTCGACGAGACTAAGTACATCAACAATCAGCTGGGCACGAGGCTCCCATCTGTCCACGCCGGTGGATAGCCACGCCAGCGGACGAGGTAACTCGTCCGGACGCCATTCACATCGCGGTGGTTCAAAATACGCTCCACTAGGAAGCGATGACCATCGCTTGAGTCCACCAAAGGATGTGGTGGCGGTGGGAACACCTGATCCGGCTCGAGGGTCGAATCAACTTAATGTTCAAGAGCTGAACCGTCTAACGGAACAGTTGCAAGATGACCTGGCTCACGAACGGATTCAGCGTTATGGGCTTGAGGATCTTGTGAGTGATAATTATGATTCCCTAACGCACGATCGTCAGACGTTCGTGCCACTTTTTCGTTCGCGCAACTTGAGACCGAACGTTCGATTAGTTCTCTTCGTGACGAGCTGGCTGTAGCTTGTCAAGACATCGCTGAACTGCGTGAACAGCTCGCTTCGCTAGTCGACCAGACTGGCTCGTCGAAACGGGAACACTCGAAGGTGCTCTCGGCTCTCAACCGCGGAGGTGTTCTTCGCATCTCGAAACGGGCTCGCACTGATAGTACGGGCGGAGACGACCGACGTAAAGCGTAGGATGCGTACGAATCTTACGGGGCAGTTCAATCGTGTATGCGTTGCCCATTCGGCGCAACACAACGAAATCGACCGATGTACTTGGGCAGTAATCTACCCCTGCCCACGTTTGTCACTGCGTGTTGTGGTAGGTTTACTGTAGACAGTTAACTGGGTCTCCTTCATCAAATGAAAGGACACTTGCTCTTCCATGTTTGTCTGCGTTTCTCTTCTGTCTGTCTAGTGCATCTGCAATAGAGTCTTAAACGAAACGGACAACCGCTTCGCGAGTCAGCAGAAAATCCTTCTGCTGATTCATCCTTGTTAACAGCAGTGCGCTTCGTGTGCACTGCTGAAAAAAACGTTGTTTTCACCAGTGAGGGTATCATCGTCCTCACTTTGGCGGTCATTGGCGATGCTGAATATGCCAGCATCGTCGTCATCGTCATCATCGACATCGATCCCATCGAGATCGGCATCCATCACGTCGACACCATTGTCGACGGGTGATGAGCAAGAACCAGATCGGTTTTTGTTCGAGCGACCCCCCCCCCTAAACTAGAGTCACACTCTAAGAAGGCGGTTAAACGTGGATGGCGCAGGACATTCAAGAAGAACGGTTTATGCGTTGTAGACGCGTGCACCGAGATGTTGGTGGCGAATTCCACCATCAGCAAGAACTCACTCCAGCTTGTAAACGAGTGGACATGCCCTCGAAGTATCTCATCGAGGACGCGGTTGACACATTCCGTCTGACCAACTGTTTCTGATTGGTCAGAAGTTGACATCGTCAAACGTGTTACTAGTGAACGGAACACGGATTGCCATAACTCCGCCTTAAAGCGTGGGCCCCTATCAGACACGAGCTCACAGGATAGCCCGTGAAGTCGGAAGATAGTATCGACGAACATACGAGCACAGACCTGGGCTGTGATTAACTCCGGTACAGCAACAAGCTGTACCATCTTGCTGAACCGTCAACATTCACAAGAATACCAGTATTCTTGTGAATGTTTTTGGGAAAGCCCGAAGACGAAGTCCATCGATACGGACTGCCAACACTCTGCCGGAATCGGAAGAGGCTGTGAGGGTGCGCGGGATGAAGGACTAGGCATCATACGTTGACAAACTTCCAAGCGCGAATGCATTTCCGCACAAACTTATACTGGCGGGACCAGTAGAAGTCACGACTCACCATGAGGTAAGTATTTTCTCTACCGCGATACCCACTGGTTGGGGCATCATGACAATCATACATGATGTGCAATCGCAAATCATTTATGAGCCGGAACGACGACACGAGGTGTGTCGCCGTTGTTTGCTGTATAGTACAACAGCCCATCACGAACCGAATACCGTTCGATAGAAGAGCGGTATTGAGAAGACAAGCTTTTAAAAGCTTGACTGCATGGATTGGATACAAAATCCATCAACCCCAGAAGAGACTCATCTTCTGTGTTTGCTTTTCGCACGTCATCGAGCAGATTCTACGACGGAACACTCACTGTTAGTGTCGCGACAGTGGGATCACCCCTACTGTTGGGTTGAGCAGTCGGCTCGAAATCGGACCGACGCGAAAGAGCATCAGCGACGACATTAAGTCGTCCTGGTTTATACTCGACGAGACAGTTGTACTCCGCGTAGAAATACAGCGACCTCGCCATCCGTTGTGAGAGTTGTGGACTGCTTACGGCCGTGCGTAATGACGCATAGTCAATATGAACGATGAAGGGTCTACCCTTTGAGAGATATACCCGAAACTTGGCCAGTGCATATTTCATGGCAAGAAGTTCCTTGTCATGAACCGGATAATTTCGCTCAGCTGCTTGCAGCTGACGCGATTGATCACAGACGACGCGCTTAACGCCGTCTGAGTCGTACTGTATTAACGCGCAGCCAATTGTAAAATCGCTGGCGTCACAGACCACATGAAATTGCCTATCCTTATCTGCGATTGCCAACACAGGCGTTTGCAATAAGCTTTTCTTGATGCCTTCAAAAGAGTGCTGACACTCAGCGCTCCATGATCACCTCTCGTTTTCTTTAGCAGACGAGAGAGATGAACGGTCATCTCGGCATAGTTGCGCGAGTATTTGTGCAAATACGCTGCCAAGCCAAGGAACTTTCGAAGTCCCTTGACGTCGACTGGCACAGGCCAGTCGCTAATCGCCTTGATCTTTTCCAAGTCAGGGCGAACACCGTTTTTACCCCTGATGCAGCCAAGAAGTGGTATTTCGTTCGCTGTGGATATACACTTCTTGAGGTTCGCGAGAAACATATGCTCTCGCAGTAGAGTAGGAACCTTCCGGACGTGGATTCTATGAACCTACACGTCTTTCTTTCCATTAAAAGCCCGACTATGGACGAAGACATCGTCAAAGCAACTCGGTTCTGAGTCTCACACCGATCGCAACAGATTCGTAACACATCTGTTGAATGTTGCAGGGGCGTTACTTAGCCCCTGTGGCATTACTAGCCACTCCCAAAGCGTACTACTGGGGGTGCTTACTGATGTGTACTGGATATCCCGTTCACGCATGAGGATCTGATAGAATCCATCCATCAGATCCATGGATGAAAAGATGGCAATTTTTGCCATACCATATATGATGACGCCCTTCCTCGATATCGGCGTTTGAGCCGGTACCGTCGCAGCATTCAATTTGTTGAACGCCTGCACTATCCGCCACTCTCCTGTGGCCTTTCGCACACAGCTATGTGGAGATCTTGATTCTCTCACATGACCAGCCACTAAGCTATCGGCAAAGAATTTGTCGATCGCTGTGACCTGTTCACGAGGCAGTGGCCACTGTTTAATGACACAGTACTTCGAACCAGGTTTCAGTTTGATCTCATGCCGAGTGACTTTGTCCTTGGGCAGCTCGCATGGCACGGATTCCGGGAATACATCCTTGAATTCAACCAAATCCTTATACAAAGGATTTGTCGTTAAAGACTCCCAAGATTGAGACGTGTATCGCTCGATCCGGGTCTTCTCATCGAGGACACTATCGTCCATAGATGAGCTACTAAGAACCCGTTCGTTCTCAGCAAACACTTATGCCGACCGAATATCGGCGACGTCCTCGTCCTCTGTGACGAGTACGCAGATCTGCTTGATCCTGTCACTACGCAGATCTCGCAAAAATTGTTTAGATTCTAGTGTTGGCAACTTGACCACCTCCGAAGCTGACTTCGGGGGCGTCACCAGATCAAGTGTATAAGCGCCTGCACTTGATCCGTCATTCACCAAGACATTAACTGACTCGGTATTTCCTGGGAAAACACATCAGCAGGTGGTTGGGGATCCACACCCTCAACATAACTCTCTAGCGAGTTATTGCTCTCAGGAACGCCGGAACTTTCTTCCGTTACGGGTACTATCACGGTCATGTCCTCTTCGATCGACTCTCTTTCAGTCGAGCGGGCTTGCTCTACGATCGAATCTCTGATAGTCGATCTCGCTTCAACGTGTTGTCCATCCTGAGCAACACTAGTCTCTCTTCTCGGATGCACCCTTCTTGGTGTGCATCCGTGTTACAGTCCACTCGACCTCTACGAGTGGTGAACCTTCTGCGCAGCCTGTGTCTCTACACAGGTGCCGGAAGATAGTTCCACAGTGCAGTGGCCTTCTACACTGTGATCTTGTGCAATCGTACTAACGACCGTATCACAAGTGAGGCCATCGCACTCACTCGTAGTACATCCACACGCTTGTGGACGCTCCAAGACGTTCATCAGATGGCCATCCGATGAACAAACGGCATGCATCTTCACGGATCGATGCTGCCAACTAACCCAAGGCCGGTACTTTCTAAGCCATGGCAGACCAAGGATGACATCAAATTTGTCATCCAAATCTAGAACGACAAAGTCAGCATCGTAATGCTTTCATTCTAGCGTGTGGTGGATTTCCACTACACCTTTTTCACTGTTACGGATGCGCCTGTAGCAAGGCACACCGTCACCCTTGTTGAAGGGAAATCTCGCTCAACATAGTTGAGCCTACTATCCCTTAGCGACTGGCGTCGAATCAAACTGTTCGACGCCCCACAGTCTAGTAGAGCGCGAAGTGACATTCCACTTGTCACTTCGATCTTCAAAGTGATGAGAGACTCCTCATCTCTTAGGGCAGTAACACACAGCTACTGTGTGTTGTAGGCAATCTTCGTCAAGAGTCCTGCAAATTCTCTTGACGTTGCTGGATTAGCAGGGCGCTCCGCCCCTACTGACCCTGACCGTTTTTTGGCGGTCCGACTTGCTGTCGCGGCTTGGCGATATGGTCGGACCCACGCCTTGGACCTTTCCTTGGGGCAACGGCGGTCATCACGTCCTGTCTTTGGACGTGTCGCAGTGCTCGGGACACTTCACTCATGAGCGCAGTGTCCAATCTTCTGTTAGCGGTAGCATCTTGCCGTTCGCCTGTGACTCAGAGAGCGAGAGTTCTCGCTCTCGGTGTAACAGATGTCCACTGGTTCGGGATCTCCTGATTCCTGTCGCCTCGTCGGACGATAGTTGGACGAGTTAGCCTGAGACTGTCTCAGGCTGAAATCTTCTTGTTCCGCATACGCTATCGCCCTTTCCAGCGTATGGAAATCCTCTCGGAACATGTAGGTCTTCACCGACCCATCTACAAGGCCTTAGATGAACACGTTGATGAGCGTGTGCTCATCAAAAAAGTTATCAGTGACGCTACTCGCAAGGTAGCGTAGGCGCTGTGTATCAGCGTGCACATCACGCTTACCTTGCTTAAGCCTCAGGAGTGCAGAGCGTGCTCTGCACTCGGCTCTCGGCGGCTCAAACGTCTCTTTGAGCCGAGACTTCAAGATCTCCGACGACTCAAACGCGTATGAGTCGTGAAGCTTGAGCCCTAAGGCCCAAGTCTTTGCTCGTCCCGTCAAACTTGACAGGGCGAGGGTGACTTGCATCTCGTCACCCTCGACGTGACGGGCCCTGATGGCATCGTCTAACTCGACGGACCATCTCAAAAGGGAATCTTTATCGGTTCCCTTGTACCTTGAGATATCAATCTTTAAGGGTTCGGTTCGACGCATGTGCGTCGGCCCACCCATCGACTGATGAGAGCCTTGCTGCTGTAGCAAGGCTATCTTCTGTTGTTTGACGGCAAGTTCCCCTTGTAGGAACTTGTTGAAAGTGGCATGTTGTTCGTCTACGTTTAGAGACTCCAACATGCCACTGATGGCGGGTTCGCCCATGAGCACACTCATGCGGCCGACAACCTTCCATTCTGAGTCACTCAGGTGGGAGTAGCCTTCACGTGTGACGTTAAAGCTGTCGCCTTCTACGTCCAACATGAACATGTTGGACGGACACTTAGTAGTCGTTGGACGGACTTAAAAGTGCTACCAGGTGTAACCGAGCACCCTTTGTTTGGGGTGCCCCAAAACTTCACGTACACTAGTACGTGCAGAGGAAGCTAATCTGCTCAAACAGCTAGTTTGAGTAAAAGGTAAAAAGTGTACTTTATTCAATATAGTTAAGCTATCAATATATCTTAAATGTAACGGGGTGAATCGTTACATAACAATTTATAAGAAATTGTTAATAGAATATAACTATAAGAGTTATATTCTCAGAATATTGTCATAAGGACAAATATTCTGTAGCACTTACAAGTAGTTCCTAATTGGTTGATATAGGCCATTATATCAACCAACGAAGACGCGCCACGACAGACGCACGCAATGAGTGGTGAGCAGATAACTGATTTACACATTTGTATTTAGACATAGTTAGATGAAGATAAATAGTGATTTATTGCAGACATTAACTAACTAAATACAGTTCTACTTTTTTACTCTAAACAAGTACTCGCTTCTTCTTACCGTCTTCCTCTGCACGTACCAGTGTACGTGAAGTTACGAAGCACCGCCTTATTCTGTCATCAGAATAAGTAGCTTGTACTGTCACCAGTACAAGCCTGAGGGTGCCCCGTTACACCTGGTAGCACTTCGTAGTCCGTCCAAGGACCGCGTTCACATCCAACATGAATATGTTGGATGATGAAGATGACCAAAGCTTTCACGCTACGCGTGACGGCCACTCCCATTTGAGCGATGTCGAATGGGATGCGGTTGAACGGATGGGTTCGACCATGGGCATCCATGCTGTTAGCGTCATGCTAGAGGCTCTCAATAGAGATGCCCAACATGCTACTATCGCCAAGTTCATCCAAAATGAACTTGACGCAGAACGCGAGAAAGTAGCCTTGCTTCATCAACAAGTTTCTCAACAAGCAGAGTTGTTGAGAGAACAGGGTGTTCAACAGTTTGAGCTGTTGAGACAGCAGCAGGCTGCTGCTGGTGGGTCGATGCACTCGCGTCGACCCGAGACTTTGAAGATTGACATCTCCAAGTATAGGGGGGTCGAAGAAGACTCCCTCTTGAGATGGTTCGTCGAATAAGGCGACGCCATAAGGGCGCGTCGCATCGACGACGGGGATATGCAAGTTGCATTTGCCCAGTCAAATCTGGCAGGACGTGCCAAGACTTGGGCACTGGGGCTCAAGTTGCACGACCCATATGCGTTTGGGTCGTTGGAAGTCTTCAAGTCGCGGCTCAGACAAACGTTTGAACCGCCTAGAGCTGAGTTCAGAGCTCGAACCGAACTCTTGAAGCTCAAGCAGGGTAAGCGTGATGTACACGCTTACGCTCAACATATACGACATCTCACGAGTTGTATAAGTTCCAATCCGGTGGATGAACACACGTTGGTTTCGGTGTTCATGCAGGGTCTTGCGGATGGTCCCGTCATGACTCACCTGTTCCGGCTTGAACTAGATTCACTAGAACAAGCCATTTCCATTGCGGAGCAGGAAGACTTCAGTCTGAGACAGGCTCGCGCCAGCTCGACATCATATCGTCAACCGAGACGATATGACAACGGAGGTCCAGAGCCGATGGAACTATGTTACGTAGAGAGCGAGAAGGCTCTCTCTACAGACTACAAGAAGTTTCAGAAATGCAACAGATGTCAAAAGACAGGACACTACGCTTACGAGTGTAGTGCCCCTCGTCCAGTGTCTCGCGACACTGGGCGTAGTGACCGTCCACCCATGAGAAAGGGGCAGGGACGAGGGTCCGCTGTTGGTGCAAAGACGCAACAACGGGATGGACCGTCAAAAAACGGACAGGATCAGTAGGTGCGGAGCACCCTACTTGTCCAGCAACGTCAAGAGAATTTGTAGGCCTCTTGATGAAGGTTGCTCCCAACACACAAACATTGTGCGTTGCTGCTGTAGGCAATGAGGTCTCACTCATTATCTTGAAACTCGAAGTGACGAATAAGTTGTCCCTTCGAGCTCTAGTCGATTGTGGGGCGTCCAACAATTTTGTGCGACGCCAATCGCTAGAAGATGGTCACTTTAAATTTAGTGAATGTGACACACCTCCTACGAGGATGACGGTACGTCTTGCGACAGGCGCATCCTTAACCGTCATGAAGCGTATAGTGAAGATCCACTATACGCTAGAAGATACCCAATATGACGATGACTTTATCGTATTGGATTTGGATGACAAATTTGATGTCATCCTTGGAATACCGTGGCTCAGAAGGTACGAACCACGAGTAAACTGGCAACATCGGACAGTAACGATGCCTGCCGCTTGTTCATCAGATGGCCATCTGATGAACGTTTTGGAGCGTCCACAAGCGTGTGGATGTACTACGAGTGAGTGCGATGGCCTCACTTGTGGTACGGTCGTTAGTACGACTGCACAAAACCTTAGTGTACCAAACAGTTACACTTCGGAGCAAAGTTCCGGCGGCTGTGAGGAAACACAGGCTGCGCCGAAGGTCAACCACTCTAATAAGTCGGGTGGACTGGTACAAAGATGTATCCCTAGCGGGGAACATCCAGAAGAGAAACAATCGATCGCTCAGGTTAAGCGAAACGATAATCCTAGATCGACTGGAGAGTCTTTCGTAGAGGATCTCGCTGTGGTTGCGCAACCCCAGATAGAGGAAGTAAAGGGAATAAGTCCCAAGATTACAAATACGGCGGAAATAAGTTCCCCGAAACCCGCGGAAATAAGTCCCCGGGAAGCCGAAGGAATAAGTCCTTCGAAGCCTGAGGGAATAAGTCCCCAGGAAATGACAGAGACATTGAATGTCATAGTCAATAACGGATCAAGTGTAGGCGCTTATACACTTGATCTGATTGCGCCTCCGAAGTTAACTTCGGAGATCACTCAGTTGCCAACGCTCGAACATAAAAGGTTCTTGCGTGATCTGCGTAGTGGCAAAGTCAAGCAGATCTGCATACTCGTCGCTGAAGACGAGTATGTAACCGACATAAGGTCAGCAACAGTGTTTACTGAGAACGAGAGAGTTCTCAGTAGTTCGTCTATGGACGAGAGTGTCCTAGATGAAAAGACACGAATTGAGCGATATGACTCCCAATCGTGGGAATCGCTCAAGAAAAATCCTCTCTATGAAGATTTGGCTGAATTCAAGGATGCATTCCCTGAAACTGTTCCGTGCAAATTACCGAAGGATAAAGGTGTTCGACACGAGGTCGAGCTTAAACCAGGCTCGAAGTACTGTGTCATGAAGCAGTGGCCACTGCCTCGTGAACAAGTACTTGCGATCGACAAGTTCTTTGCCGATCGTTTAGCTGCGGGCCATGTGAGGGAACCAACTTCCCCACATAGCTCTCCGACCTTCTGTGTGCGAAAAGCAACAGGAGGGTGGCGGATAGTGCACGCGTTCAACAAATTGAACGCTGCAACGGTACCGGCTCAGACGCCGATACCGAGGAAGGACGTAATCATTGATGGTATGTCAAAGAGTACCATCTTTTCGTACATGGATTTGATGGATGGCTTCTATCAAATCCTTATGCGAGAACGGGATATACCCTATACCGCAGTTAGCACGCCCAGCGGCATGCTCTGGGAATGGCTAGTAATGCCACAAGGGCTTAGTAATGCCCCTGCCACGTTCAACAGATGTGTATCACATCTGTTGAGGCCGGTACGAGAATTCGCGCCGAGTTATTTCGATGACGTATTCATCCATAGTCGAGCTATGGATGGAAAGTCGGACGTTGAGGTTCACAGGTACCACGTCCGACAGGTTCTTACAATCATGCGAAAGCATCAATCGTATGCAAACCTCAAGAAGTGTATATTTGCAGCAAGCGAAATACCACTTCTTGGGTGCATCGTTGGTAAGAACGGTGTACGTCCTGATCCCGAAAAGATCAAGGCGATCACCGACTGGCCTGTGCCGGTTGATGTCAAAGGTCTTCGAAAATTCCTTGGGCTAGCGGCGTATTTGCATAAGTATTCACGCAATTACGCCGAGATGACTATGCACCTCTCTCGTTTGTTGAAAAAGAACGAGAGGTGGTTATGGAACGCTGAATGTCAGCGCTCCTTTGATGGTATCAAGCAGAGCTTGATACAATCCCCAGTCCTAGCAATAGCCGATCAGGACAGGCCATTCCATGTGGTCTGTGATGCCAGCGATTTTGCAATCGGCTGTGCATTAATGCAGTACGATCTTGAAGGCGTTGAACGCGTCGTCTGCTATCAGTCGCGTCAGCTGCAACCAGCTGAGCGGAACTATCCAGTGCATGACAAGGAACTACTTGCCATGAAGTATGCACTCGCGAAGTTCAGAGTCTATCTATTAGGAGATAGACCCTTCATTGTTTACACTGACCATGCGTCATTACGCACGGCAGTGAACAGACCGCACCTTTCACAACGAATGGCGCGGTGGTTGTCATTCTTTGCAGAATACAACTTTACGGTAGGGTACAAACCAGGACGACTTAATGTCGTCGCTGATGCACTCTCACGTCGTCCCGACTTTGAACCAGTCGTGAAACTTAACAGTGGTACGGCCACTGTTGCGGTTATGACGTCCACAATACCATCTTCAACGTTACATGATGATGTGAGGCGGGCGTATGCCCAAGATGGTGAGATTGTGAAGTTGTTGACACATCTCTCACAGCCATTTCAAGAATCGTTAAAACGATTATCGTCTGCGTATCGATCTGCATCAGATCGATACACTACTCGCAACGGTTTACTGTATTACACAGCCGTTACTGGTGATACACCACGTGTTGTCATCCCAGATGATACTGATCTGCGTTTGCGGATCATGTTCGAGTATCACGATGCTCCTATAGGAGGACATCGTGGCCGAGAGAAAACATATCTCACGGTAAGTAGAGACTTTTACTGGCCCCGCCAGTATCAGTTTGTGCGAAAGTATGTTCGCGCATGCGAAGTCTGTCAACGAGTGAAGTCAAGTCCTTCACTGCGTGCACCATTACAGCCTCTACCGGTTCCGGCTGAGTGCTGGGAATCCATCTCAATGGATTTCGTCTTCGGGTTACCCAAAGACGCACGCGGGAATACGGGCATTCTCGTATTTGTTGACAGATTAAGCAAAATGGTACACCTTGTGGCTGTACCAGAGACAATCACGGCAAGTGGCTGTGCTTGTGTCTTTATTGACACCATCTTCCGACTTCATGGGTTGCCCCGTGAACTCGTATCAGACAGAGATCCACGATTCACTGCTGATTTCTGGCGTTCCGTGTTCAAATCACTCGGAACGCGCTTGAAGATGTCAACATCTGATCATCCAGAGTCAGATGGTCAGACGGAACGTGCCAATCGTGTCCTTGAAGAGATACTTCGAGGATACGTACACTCCTTTAAGAGTTGGAGTGAGTTTTTGCCGATGGTAGAGTTTGCCATCAACAACTCGGTGCATGCGTCCACGACACATACACCGTTTTACGTGAATGGCTTGCGTCATCCGCGTGTACCCACCTTACTAGAGTGTAACTCTGGTTTGAGGGGGGGAGGGACTCGCGCGAGCAAAAACCGATTTGTTTCACGCTTATCACGCTCTGACGAAGAGGTCATTGCGATTGATGCCGATATCGATAACATCGATATCGAAGAAGATGATGCCAGTGAGAGTGCGGAAGCCCTCACTGAAGAAAAGGTTGTTGTCGCTGCAGTGCGCTCACAGCACACTGAAGCTAATGAGTCATCAGATGAGTTCATACTGGCTCGTGAAACGGTAGTCCGTTTTGTGCAAGACTCCATCGCCGAAGCGGTGGATAAGCAAAAGCAAAACGCTGACAAGAATGGAAGGGCAAACACTCTTTTATTTAATAAAGGTGACTTAGTCCTACTGTCTACGGTTAATCTACCAAAGCATGTAGTGACTAACTCGGGTAGCAGTAAACTACTACCCAAGTACATCGGCCCATTTCGTGTATTGCACCGCCTAGGCAATGCATACACGATCGAGTTACCACGTAAGATGCGAACGCATCCCACGTTTTACGTTGGTCGGCTTAAGCCGTACCATCAGTACGCTGCTTCTTCCGATGAAGAACGCCCTTGCGCTCAAGCATCTCGCAGA